TCAGTACATTTATATTATTTCGTATATTTTTCATTTTATTGATTTTATGGAAAGCACTGTTCATTAAAATGTTGTATCCTATGTTATAGGGCGTATTTCTCTCTACAATTTCCTGTTTCACAATGTACCGTTTGTGTCCGGGAAGAGTTCATAGATTCATAGTTGTCGATTTTCGAAAGAAATCAGTACCTACATTTATATTATTTCGTATATTTTTCATTTTATTGATTTTATGGAAAGCACTGTTCATTAAAATGTTGTATCCTATGTTATAGGGCGTATTTCTCTCTACAATTTCCTGTTTCACAATTCAATTACCGTTTGTGTCCGGGAAGAGTTCATAGATTCATAGTTGTCGATTTTCGAAAGAAATCAGTACATTTATATTATTTTGTATATTTTCATTTTATTGATTTTATGGAAGGCACTGTTTATTAAAATGTTGTATCCTATGTTATAAAAGCTTGTTTCTCTCTACAATTTCCTGTTTCACAATGTACCGTTTGTGTCCAGGAATAGTTCATAGCTTCATAGTTGTCGATTTTCGAAAGAAATCAGTACATTTATATTATTTTGTATATTTTTTCATTTTATTGATTTTATGGAAGGCACTGTTTATTAAAATGTTGTATCCTATGTTATAAAGCTTGTTTCTCTCTACAATTTCCTGTTTCACAATGTACCACGTTTGTGTCCAGGAATAGTTCATAGCTTCATAGTTGTCGATTTTCGAAAGAAATCAGTACATTTATATTATTTCGTATATTTTTCTCATTTTATTGATTTTATGGAAAGCACTGTTCATTAAAAATGTTGTATCCTATGTTATAGGGCGTATTTCTCTACAATTTCCTGTTTCACAATGTACCGTTTATGTCCGGGAAGAGTTCATAGATTCATAGTTGTCGATTTTCGAAAGAAATCAGTACATTTATATTATTTCATATATTTTTCATTTTATTGATTTTATGGAAAGCACTGTTCATTAAAATGTTGTATCCTATGTTATAGGGCGTATTTCTCTCTCTACACTTTCCTGTTTCACAATGTACCGTTTGTGTCCGGGGAAGAGTTCATAGATTCATAGTTGTCGATTTTCGAAAGAAATCAGTACCTACATTTATATTATTTCGTATATTTTTCATTTTATTGATTTTATGGAAAGCACTGTTCATTAAAATGTTGTATCCTATGTTATAGGGCGTATTTCTCTCTACAATTTCCTGTTTCACAATGTACCGTTTGTGTCCAGGAATAGTTCATAAGCTTCATAGTTGTCGATTTTCGAAAGAAATCAGTACATTTATATTATTTCGTATATTTTTCATTTTATTGATTTTATGGAAAGCTCTGTTCATTAAAATGTTGTATCCTATGTTATAGGGCTTGTTTTTCTCTACAATTTCCTGTTTCACAATGTACCGTTTATGTCCGGGAAGAGTTCATAGTTTCATAGTTGTCGGTTTTCGAAAGAAATCAGTACATTTATATTATTTCCTATATTTTTCATTTTATTGATTTTATGGAAAGCACTGTTTATTAAAATGTTGTATCCTATGTTATAGAGCTTGTTTCTCTACAATTTCCTGTTTCACAATGTACCGTTTGTGTCCGGGAAGAGTTCATAGTTTCATAGTTGTCGATTTTCGAAAGAAATCAGTACATTTATATTATTTCGTATATTTTTCATTTTATTGATTTTATGGAAAGCACTGTTCATTAAAATGTTGTATCCTATGTTTATAGGGCGTATTTCTCTCTACAATTTCCTGTTTCACAATGTACCGTTTGTGTCCAGGAATAGTTCATAGCTTCATAGTTGTCGATTTTCGAAAGAAATCAGTACATTTATATTATTTCGTATATTTTCATTTTATTGATTTTATGGAAAGCACTGTTCATTAAAATGTTGTATCCTATGTTATAGGGCGTATTTCTCTCTACAATTTCCTGTTTCACAATGTACCGTTTATGTCCGGGAAGAGTTCATAGATTCATAGTTGTCGATTTTCGAAAAATCAAGGTACATTTATATTATTTCGTATATTTTTCTATTTTATTGATTTTATGGAAAGCACTGTTCATTAAATGTGTTGTATCCTATGTTATAGGGCGTATTTCTCTCTACAATTTCCTGTTTCACAATGTACCGTTTGTGTCCGGGAAGAGTTCATAGATTCATAGTTGTCGATTTTCGAAAGAAATCAGTACCTACATTTATATTATTTCGTATATTTTTCATTTTATTGATTTTATGGAAAGCACTGTTCATTAAAATGTTGTATCCTATGTTATAGGGCGTATTTCTCTCTACAATTTCCTGTTTCACAATGTACCGTTTGTGTCCAGGAATAGTTCATAGCTTCATAGTTGTCGATTTTCGAAAGAAATCAGTACATTTATATTATTTCGTATATTTTTCATTTTATTGATTTTATGGAAAGCACTGTTCATTAAAATGTTGTATCCTATGTTATAGGGCGTATTTCTCTCTACACTTCCTGTTTCACAATGTACCGTTTATGTCCGGGAAGAGTTCATAGATTCATAGTTGTCGATTTTCGAAAGAAATCAGTACATTTATATTATTTCGTATATTTTCATTTTATTGATTTTATGGAAAGCACTGTTCATTAAAATGTTGTATCCTATGTTATAGGGCGTATTTCTCTCTACAATTTCCTGTTTCACAATGTACCGTTTGTGTCCGGGAAGAGTTCATAGATTCATAGTTGTCGATTTTCGAAAGAAATCAGTACCTACATTTATATTATTTCGTATATTTTTCATTTTATTGATTTTATGGAAAGCACTGTTCATTAAAATGTTGTATCCTATGTTATAGGGCGTATTTCTCTCTACAATTTCCTGTTTCACAATGTACCGTTTGTGTCCAGGAATAGTTCATAGCTTCATAGTTGTCGATTTTCGAAAGAAATCAGTACATTTATATTATTTCGTATATTTTTCATTTTATTGATTTTATGGAAAGCACTGTTCATTAAAATGTTGTATCCTATGTTATAGGGCGTATTTCTCTCTACAATTTCCTGTTTCACAATGTACCGTTTATGTCCGGGAAGAGTTCATAGATTCATAGTTGTCGATTTTCAAAAGAAAGAAATCAGTACATTTATATTATTTCATATATTTTTCATTTTATTGATTTTATGGAAAGCACTGTTCATTAAAATGTTGTATCCTATGTTATAGGGCGTATTTCTCTACAATTTCCTGTTTCACAATGTACGTTTGTGTCCGGAAGAGTTCATAGATTCATAGTTGTCGATTTTCGAAAGAAATCAGTACCTACATTTATATTATTTCGTATATTTTTCATTTTCCTATTGATTTTATGGAAAGCACTGTTCATTAAAATGTTGTATCCTATGTTATAGGGCGTATTTCTTTTCTACAATTTCCTGTTTCACAATGTACCGTTTGTGTCCAGGAATAGTTCATAGCTTCATAGTTGTCGATTTTCGAAAGAAATCAGTACATTTATATTATTTCGTATATTTTTCATTTTATTGATTTTATGGAAAGCACTGTTCATTAAAATGTTGTATCCTATGTTATAGGGCTTGTTTCTCTCTACAATTTCCTGTTTCACAATGTACCGTTGTGTCTTGAAATTGAAAAAAAAAATAAAAATTAGAAATTTATCACTTACTTGTTTCAAAAATACTGTCAAGTACTGAGAACTTACTGATCTTCTCGGCCGCTCATTAAATAAGGAATTACTCAACTCTGACCTCCGAGTCGAATTTCTAAAAAAAATCTTAAAGTTGAATGTCTGAAATAATACAAAATATATAGGTACAGCATAAACATTATTTTATATTTCTTATTCAAAAATACAAAAGGAAAGTATAACATTAAATGTATGTAGAAGGAAAAGCAAACTTATATTTTAATTGATTTTTTGGATCTTTCATATTTTGTCTTCGCATGTTGAATTGTCTTATTCATGGTTTCAAATTGAATTTTAACTTGGCGGTATCTTTCATTTGAATCTTTGTTGCAATGTTGCAGAAAAAACGTTTTAATTACCATTCAAAAACAATGTTTCTGTAGCAAGGTTTCATCAATCACGACACAACATTTAGAAATCAACATTCCAAAGCAATCTGTTTAGGGATTGACTGCAATGTTGCAAATGTAATGTGAGGTTTTTGCTTGGTGGGTCGTGTATCTGACAATGATTTAAAAAATTGTTAATTTGTGTCTTTCACTATACTCCCACTCGTTTGTACAGAAAAGAAGTCGAAGAAATATTTATGTAAAATAAATATTTGTGGAAGCGATAAACATGTTTAACTATTTTATGTTTACTTACTGTTGGTTCATGTCTTGAAAAAAAAAGTTTTGTTGAAAATGGTTTGTTTTATTTTAACAAGTTTTGAGTATAAATATTGTTAAGAAAGTAAGAAAAACCATCAATCGCATACTATTGACATAAATTTTTGGTAAATTCTAGATATTTGGGCGAGGCGTCACCTGTGCCTCTTTTTTACCCTCTCGACCTCTATTTTTTATTTTGAAAGTTGGCAACCCTATTTTAAGGAGCTCTTTAAAAAGTTTCAAATAAATTTTTCTGTAAAATAAAATCGGGAAAATGTATTCATCATTTTTAAAATTTAGAAGGTATGTTTGGATTGACACGGTATTATAATATGAAGGGTCCAGAGAAAAAACATGATAAGCGCCATTTTACTACATACAGTTAGTTATTTTACAACGTATATTTACAGTTAGACCCACGATAATATTGTAAAACCCTAAAATTAAGAAATTGGAGCTTATCAAGTTTTCCCCTATAGAACCTTCATATATTAATACTTTATAAAAAAACCTTAAGATATAAGAAACGCCCGCTATATTATAAAACATTCGAAACTTAACCTTAGACTCTAAGATTAATCAAATTATTTAACGTTATTTTTAACAAACAATCGCGACTTCTAGCGATAATGTTTGTAAATAATTTGTTATAAATAGGTCCCAACAAAAGAAAATCTTTTTAGTTTTTGGCGGGAGATACTTACAGTCAGCTTCGATCAATTCAAAATTTGATCATGCCGAATACGGACATACATGTAAGTTTATTTATTCTTAATATTTTTTTAATATTTATTTGTATAGAATGGTGAATTATTCTACCCAAGAATTTTTTAAATAGTAATTTTTTATAATTTTTAGTTAATTTTAATGTTTATATATTTTTTATAATTTTCATATAATTTTAAAGATTTCAAGGTTCTTCTTCTGTGGAAGACCTTCTAATAATTATATGAGTATAATATTTTCTAATTTTTCTTTAATAAAATTATAGCATAACAAATACAGTTTCTTTGCTATAATATTTCTCATTGTATTTTTTTAGAAAACTAAAGATTTCTGTTCCAAATTGTTAGAAAGAATACGATCGAAAAAAAACGGCGTCAAAGACGGCTGTGGAATTACAATCGATGATAATTTTAGCGAGGTCAAGCACTAAGTGTCGATACATGGCCTGTACTGTTCCTTATTTTTTAATGGCGCTAACTTAATGTTAATTTTTGACAAGTTTTATATCAATTTTTAGTAAACGAAGTCTAGAGACTGAATTATTGAGTAATAACATTTTCTAGATATTTTTTAATATAATTTCAGAAAAATACGGAACTTTATGATAGATACAATGCCTGTTTTCAAGTTTCAAAAAAGAAAGGATGCCCTCCTTCAGTATACGATGGTTTAGAATTATATGGTCTTATTAAACAGTCATCTAAAGGTGATATCAATAAAAGTAAGTACATAGATATAATTAATTATTATTAATTAATATTATCCTGAAATATTTTATTAAATTAATATAACACTGAACTGACTTATAACACTAAAATAGACATAAATAAAATATGTTGTCTTTCTCTTATTGATGCATTAGGTAGAAAATCAAAATATTTGAATTATACAGGGTGCGTCAGGAAGTAGAATTCCAACCAGTTGATATATTTTTTTCTAAAACACTTTCTGAATGCCTTGTTTAAGGGCAGTATTACACTATCCAATTTCTTTGTCAAATATTTTATTTTGTCACAAAATTTGACAGTGTAATATGTGTGATTTTATAAAACATTGTATATTAACACTGTCAAATTTTTCATCAAATACCTTTTATAAAAGAGCTTTGACAAAGAAATTTGATAGTGTAATAGCGGCCTAATACTGGCCTAAGTATATTATTTTTTGACTATAAAATTTTTTTCTTAAAGATTTAATTTAAAAGATATTTTATGAAATATTTGACTGTGTATAATATGTGTGATTTTTAAAAAATGTCTATACCTATGTGGTGGATTCATCTTTCCAAAAAAAAAATTCTTTATGGGTATTTCGCCACTGCACTGCAAGAAAATCTACACAGTAAAAATAGAAATTAATGTGTGATTTTATAAAAATATTGTATATTGACACTGTTATTTTTTTGAAATATCTTTTATGAAAGATCTTTACAAAGAAATTTTATAGTGTAACTATAGCGTGTACCAGCGACTTCGTTCGCGTCGAATTAATCATTTGTAATGGTGATCATAAAGCAAAGCAAGAATTTCTATTAACATACAAACTGGATAAAATTTTCTCACATTTATGTCAGCATGAGAAAAAACAATATGGCGATATTATTATATAACTTGGTAATATTTCATCTCGTTGGAATTTGACTTTCGAAAAATTCGTTTGCCAAAAATAAGCTTTTTACGTCAAGCAGTTTAAGCAAAATCGTGGTTAAGAACCCAACTTTTTGGAACACCCTGTATGATTTTTTAAAAAATTTCAAAATATGTAAAAAACCAAATAATTATGCTTGTCCAAGCGTTTTCCCGAAGGACTAACCGTTCTTTAAATAACAAATATTGTAATATTTGAAGGGCGTTTTCACCCTCTTGGAATTTGAGATTCGAGAAACCCCTCCTTATCGAACCTCTACACCATACAGTCAATCCGTTTGCCAAAAATCAGCTTTAAACGTCAAGCAATTTAAGCAGAATCGTGATTACTCAATGGTCATATTTTATGAAACATTCTGTATAAATTTATAAAAATCTTAAAATATGTAAAAACAACAAAATAAAATATACGTGTTTAAAAAGTTTTTCCGAAAAACTCACCGGCTTTTAAATAAAAAATATTTTTAAATTTGAGGGATAGTTTCACCCCTTAGAATTTGAGTTTCGAAAAATCCCTTCTTATCGAACCTCTACACCCTAGAATCAAACTGTATGTTAAAATTGAGCTTCTTACGTTGAGTGGTTTGAGCAGGATCGTGATTAATCAGTATGTCAGTCACTTAAGGATTTTATATATTAGTATAGATAACGGCCTAATACTGGCCTAAGTGTACTTATTGTTACGTTTTTTGTCGGTTCCGTGTGGTTAGAAAGTCTATTTTTTTTAAACACAATTTATTATACACTACGTAACAAAACAATATCGATAAAACTATTTAAAGAAGTATTTATTTACAACTTATTTATTATTTATCTAACTATTTATCTAAAAGGAATTTATTTTGAATTTAGCGCGGCAACTGTACGCGTCTCGACCGATCTGTTTGTTCCTGTCCTCCTCAGGCCCCAGACGTCGCGTCGGGCTATATATGAGAAAACGCACAGTCCAGATTTTACTCAAATGTTTTTTAGCCGCTGTTCTCTGTCTCTCCAGATTATTCCATTCGTTCTCGAAAGGACCGGGGCATATTAGTCAGGTTAGGCCGAGTCCACACGGGTCCGCAACATTATTTATACATTGTTATTTATTTATCCAAATCTACATCATTGCCCGAGCTGTTTTTGATTAAATGTGACTTTTCAGGTAAACCTAGTGCATTTCATGTTGTCGAAAGAGCGAAATGGGAAGCTTGGCACAAAAAGAAAGGATTAACCAAAGAACAAGCCATGGAGGAATTTATAAGAACTGTCAAAAAAGCCTATTCCTGTTCGTGTTGAAATTAAATAATTTAATTTAGGGTCTTAAACTACGGGGATATGAAGATTTGTCATTACACCACACTCTTTCTGAAAAAAGATTTTTCTGAAAGCGAATCTAAAATGTGATTTTTAATTTTATTGTAAAATAAGCAAGTATTTTTATCTTAACACAACTCAACTATGTAAAAGTCTGTTCACACGTGTCAGGTACGTCACCGTTCCGTTGCCGTACGGTTATATTTTTTACTCGGTCAACATCTGAGATGGATTTCTGTAGATAAAAATAAGTAAAAAAACTTCGTATAAATGTGTGTCCTAAAAAAATACTTCGTTTCCGATATAGGGGTGTATAAGTTTCATTTTTACTTCGATTTTTTCCAAATAATTTCTGTACTAACGTCGATATTTGGATGAAAATTAATGTCTGGGTGTTTTTTGATATAAAAAATTTGATTTTTGATGACAATACGACTCCTACTTGTAACAACTTTTCGTCGGTACCTGTATAAAACTACTGAGCGCAAAAATATACAGGGTGGTCCGAACTGTATTCCGGAAACTTCGGCAACATATTCTGCAGATAAAAATAAGAAAAAAAGTTCGTACAAATGTATGTCCTAAAATGCTTAATTTCGGAGATACAGGGTGTAGAAATTTCATTTTTATTTCGATTTTTTCCAAATAATTTCTGAAGTAAGGTCAATATTTGGATGAAAATTGGTGTCTGGAAGTTTTTTGATATGAGAAATTTGATTTTGATGTCAATATGACTCCTATTAGTAGAGGGCGCCACCTACATATTTTTTAGCTGGTTTGAAGAGTAATAACTTTTCGTCCGTACCTGTATGAAACTACTGAGTAAAAAAATATAAATTCACGACGTTTTTTACGTGAAAAAGGTCTCTTGGTAAAAATCGCTACGAGTAATGGTTTTCGAGATATTTGGAATAGAAATTATCAATACCTGTCATCATTGACATAAAATAAACATATGCTGACTAAATAGTTATTAGACTGAAAACATAAATTTGAAATGTTTTTGTGCCAAAACTTCAACAGAAACTGTTTTACCATCATTTTTTGCAGAAAAATTTATGATTAATTTAAAAAAGTAAAAATTTCTCAAATTTATTATTTCAGTTAAATAACTATGTACAGTACGTCTGTCCGTTCTGTAGCTAAGGGGTATCCGTGAGAGGGGAAACGATATTCCATCGATGTTTTTCGTAAAAAAATAGACGACGTGTCCCATCAATAAAAATTCAACAAATTTGCAAGTAGCCAATAAAATGAGTGGGCGGAGCGATTTGCGGTGACGCACTCGTCAAATCGACGTATAAAATATATTGCTGTTTATTTAAATGTTTTTTGTCCGCATTCCTTTCAAAGACACAGATCCACCAGATGTACTGTATTCAACATGTTTATTTTTCGTCAATAATGACATGTATTGACTATTTCCATTCTAAATATCTTAAGAACAGTTACTCGTAGCGATTTTTACAAAAAGATATTTTTTACGTAAAAAGTCACAAAGATGTATATTCTTTTGCTCGGTAGTTTTATACTGGTACGGACAAAAAGTTATTACTCTTCAAAACAGTTAAAACACATGTAGGTGGCGCCCTCTACTAGTAGGAGTCATATTGACAAATTGACATCAAAATCAAATTTCTCATGTCAAAAAACTCCCAGACCCCAATTTTCATCCAAATATTGACGTTATTTCAGAAATTATTTATAAAAAATGGAAATAAAAATGAAATTTCTACACCCTGTATCTCCGAAACTAAGCATCTTAGGACATACATTTATACGAACTTTTTTACTTATTTTTATTGGCAGAATATGCTGCTGAAGTTTTCGGAATACAGCTCGGACCACCCTGTATATTTCCCCCGTTTTGACTTAAAAAAGGTCTCTTGGTCAAAATCGCTACGGGTAACCGTTCTCATAATATTTGGAATGTAGCTATGGAATGGAACTGTGACTGAGAACTGAGCCGGGAATGTGTGAATAGAGACTTATTCTAAACTTTGTATTTTTATATAATAATTTGATATATGTATATAATAAAATAGATTTTTATGATCTGATTAAACCACTATTTCATTTTCTCTCTTTATTATTACAGGTATATTAACAAAATTATGCATTCACACTATTATTCTTTCACAATATTATTGTTAACAATATTAACCCCTTCGAAAGTTAACTTGGCGAGTTTTAGTTTTTAAGTTTTTAAAGTCCCATCTACACATAACGTTTTACCTGTCATTCTTATTTGTTCAGTAAAAACGTACAATGCACCGTGTGTGTAGTCTGTTGAATTTCATTTGTACACCTATATTTAAAAATATTTATTAAAATGAAAACCTTGAAATAAATCGATTGAGAAACAACAGATAAAGTTATTTATACATTTCATCGATTTTACGAAAATAATTATGTCAAAGGCAAAGATTAGGAATTTTAATCTTCGGAAAAAGATTCATCAAATTGACAGCAACTAGTAGATAAGAGACAGTTTAGTTATCTGTCGAATAAGATTTATTTATTAAAATATTATTTTGTAAAAAATAGTTTCCAACAAATAACAATCTAGACTTTGTCAGTATGACTGTGTTGACTTTTTAAAATATAGTTTAAGTGTAATATATTTGATACTGTTTAAACTTGTAGTTACGTAATCAAGGGCGCGATTTTTAAATTCATTGTTACCAACAATGGGCATATTCGACACCGGGCTGACAAACTGGAATTTAAATTTCCCGCTGGGAATTCAGGTGGTAGCTCTACTGTAAAAAATGTCAAGTTGCCACATTTATTTATTTATTTCCTGACATTTTTATTCCATTTGACACTTTAGTTTTTTATTGCGAGTTTTTTGTTTAACTAAATTTTGATACTTTAAGTTTAAAAATGTTTACTAAAAGCAGACCTTGCAGTCGTTTTTTTTTAGAACTTCTTTAGTGCGAAGTGTACAAGATAGCTTAATAGGCGTAAAAAACTCATGGCAACTTTATTAGAATATTTTGAACGGAAAGCGGTAGTAAGTGCCCTTTATGTCCTATAAGTGGTGTTAAGAAGGTTCAAGGAGTTTTGTTGATGTAAATAATAACAGTTTATATATTTATAATTAATTTATTTTTGTTTTCTAAAATATTTTGATTAAAAGAAAATATATAACAGCTGGCAACGCTGTGCCGGTCAAGCTTAATCACGTGACTAAAAGTTTAATTGGTGTAAACTATAATTATTTCTGTTTTGTTTAACTTCTGTAACTGTTATACTGGGTGTTTTTCAAACGTAACTCACCACTAGAACTTTTTTATTTTTAGATAAAAAAAATCAATGAGCTAGCTTCGTTCTATTTAAAAACTGACTTATGATTAAAAATACGATTTGGGTATCGTTTAAATGCCCAGGAAAAGTCACGAAAAACATTTAAATCATTTTTTTCAAGATTACTTCTTACAACATACCAAATTTCGTTTTTCATCTGAAAAAATAAAAAAAGGATATGGGTTACCCATTTTTGAAAAACACCCGGTATATATTATCCCATTTGTGATGATGGGATTAATCGTAATCTAATTTTGTACAGGAAATTTAAACTTTTAAAACCATTGATCTATCTTAATAAATTATTGATATACGCCTCCAACTAGATAGGTAACAGTTTATTACCATAAATTATGAAAAATCGCAATCAAGGTTACGAAACGGTAGGAAAATAATAATTCCATATAAAAAGAACAGCAATACTTACCGAATAACAATTATTTTATTATTTGAGTAAGTAAATCTACATGTTTAATTATCTTAAATGTTAAATACATACATAAAAAAGTGTGTAAATCAAAGAAAATATACGTCTGCATACTTGTTTTACGTTGGCAAAACCTTAAATATTTGATTTGCACAACCAAAAAAAAATCTTTAAAAAAAGGAATTTTTAAAAATTAATTTAGGAATTGCCAACACTTAACCGAGATATATGACAGGAAATAGACGAAAAACCAAAATACTGAGCCCATGCAGGACCGTTTTTCTGCAGCCTTATTTTTATAAACAATTTGTGAAATTTATTTGTATTAAAATACCATATCATCAAACAAAAACGCGTTAAAGACTATGCCCGAAATCTTCTTTATTTTTTAATAGAGTTAACCGCCCGGTCGGGTAATAAAGTTCGTAATTTATTTTTATATTTTGTCTAGATTTTACAGATCACCTTTTTTTCTTATCGTTTTACAAAAATTTCTATGGAAAGACTAGTTAAAACTAAAAGACGGTTTTTAATGCCTTGATCTTGATACCTGATTCTTCTTGAAAGAATAATAATAACAAATTAAAAAAATCCGGTAGAAGACCGGTTTTTGGAAAGGATTGCATTTCACAAAATATATTTGATTTAAAACAAAAAACGGTTTTAAAAGCCGACGTGTACTTTGGTTTCCCCATCGTTGGACACGTTGATTACTATCTATGCCTCTCTCTATCTCTACAGCAGGATAGAACAAAGATAAAGGAAGAAAACCGGCGTTTTCTTCGTTAATTCCTGCTACGTAGCGTTGCGCGCGCCACTGTCTGAACTAACCTTCAAAATACGCTACTGTATTTCTGATTTTCTCATTGAGCGTTCAGTGTTTGTTGGGGTCACCGTTGTTAGTTTTTTTCTCGTTTATATTTAAATCTGTAAGTATCGTTTTTTTTGTATATATTATGTCTTTTTACCTATAGTTACTAGTAATTTTATTGTTGTACTCAATTTTATTATATTTTTAACCAATTAAATTAAAATAGCGGTATATTCGTTCGAGTGTGGCACAATTTCAGCTTTTTTACAACTGTTTTAAGTGTTTTTCGTAAATTGGTTTAATAAGTACCTAGTACATGACTTTCTATAATTACTATGTTAAAGAGGCTATTTTATGGAAAAAATAGAGTAGGTAGTTGTTTTAAAGACCTATATAAGGAATCTTTAAATAAATTTACTGAAATCTATTAAAATTATGTTTTAAGATATAATTTGTTTTCATAAATTATTATCATAAATTTTTGTTATATAATTAATGACGTTATTCCGAATTTCAATTAAAAAAAAGTTGAATAATAACATTAAATTGAGTTTAAGTAATGATTAATGATCATTATAAAATATTGTGTATAAATATAATCAAATCAATATATTAGTAGGGGACCCGATGTGGGAGTTTTAGAATTTACTCAAGCGCGGCAGAATATCATTAGGGGAGAAATATTGCACCCTGTTAAGTAGCCCCACCAATACATGAACCTTTTATACAGGGTCGTGCGTGTAGAAAAACTCGAGCGCGTCAAATTAAGGCATTTTTTTCAATAATCTGAAGATTTCGGCGTGACTTAAGGAAATGGGAGTCACAAAGTTGCAAAAAAACGTCATCTGGACATTCTCGAGCGTGGTTATTTTTTATTTTGGAAGGAAATCATTCAAATATCACGGGAATATCATAATCTGCCGGTTTCCACAAGCCAAATTAGCTAAAATCATCAATAAAGTGTGCTGCTGAGAACTAGCCTAAGATCCTGCTTCAGGATTATTACGCTCATGATGTTTTCAATCAAAACCTAATTTTTACGGGTTATACGGGTCCGGCAACAATGCGTCGGACATTTGTAGCTCCTATAATAAAAAACTTATGAATTTTGGATAAGTGCAAACCTAAAGCACAGATTTTAGTAATCTGTGCCTAAAGTATGTATTAGGATGTATTTCAGAAAAATATTTTAACTTCTACTGGGTGGCTCAAAAAAGTGTGAGTGGATCAGGATGATTTTTTTCCAGTGGAACACCCTGCATATTAATACATTTTGGCCTCCTTTCTGATCACTTTACAAGATATTATTAAACACTTTTTGACAGTTTCAGAATTATTAATAAATGAAAAAAAAACATATTTTTTCAGCCTTTTTTTTTAAATATTAGCATCTACTATGTGTATTATTAATTGATTGAATTATTTTGAGTTGATCTAATATTCTCTAAACGTACAGTTTTTGAAAATGCATTTGTAGGTATAAATGTCAGTTTCGCTGCCATATTTCCGGAAATGACAAACTTCAACTATTTAACTAATTATAATTGGGCTCATTGACACGCAATTTTGCTTCAATTTCAACCACTCTGTGGAATAAGTTCAGACTTAAGTTAATCTAAAGGTATACTTTAAAATAAAATCTATTTGCAAATTTCATAATTCGATACTAAAAAATTATCAGTAACTTTTTTATATACTAAAATAAACAGAGATAATTAAGATATACCAATGACATCTAATTAGATGTCATTGAGATATAGCTATATGTTTATTTTTAATCATCCTAACACCTATTCTATTATCTCGAGTATAACCTGGCTGTGTAAACTTTGCCTGGAATAACTTTATGTAATCTAAGGCTTCGTCTACACATAACGTTTTGCCTGTCAGTTAAAACAGTCAGGTAAGACGGATTAAAGATTAGCGTACATACTGGAAGTTTTACCTTTGATTTGGTATCAGTATTTGGTAAAGACTATGGAAGTAGCACTTGGTTGAAAAGAAAAAAATATGAAATTTTACTACAAAATAATTGTATTTTCCTATGGTTTAAATTTCATTTGTAAACACGCAAATAAGCTTATTGTGAAAATAATATCGTTTGATAATGATCATTAAATATCTATACAATTTTATAAAATTACATTATTTTGTAAGACTATGCAAAAATATTAGATTTTTATAAGTAGTTTATTGAACATACTGTCATATATCCATATCGTTGTTTGTAAATTTTGAATAAGGTTAATTTTTAAGGGTTTTACTTGATACGGTTTGACTGAACAGGGAAGACGTAAAGTAAAACATTGTAAACAGGGCTTAATAATTAAACGATTTTGAATGCCTACGTCGTTGTATTTTGGACCTAGATAAGATTAATTTATAAGATCTGAGAAATGCATGGCTTAAATGCATTGAATATACTGATATAACTAACATTTCTGAGATAAATTTTATGAAGTTAGAATTTATACTAAACTACTTAATTTTAAAATTCATTTTTATATATTTCATATTTGATTGTGAAATTTTAATTTAGTATTTTAATTTTGCTTTTACATTTTCATTTTATTTTTTTTTATTTCACTTTTATTTAACAGACTTTAACCGAAATAACTAAAGACAATTAAAAAAATAAATGTGTGTAATTAATTTAAATTACTGTTGCATTTTTAGCAATTAGTAATAATTTAGAAATGACGAAAATAAAAATTATTTAGATAATTATAGGCCACAAGTTACTTTTTTTAATTCGTTTAATTTAATTAATTCTAAAACCATACATTTGAAATTAGAATTAGTTGGTTAGCTTGGCTTCAAATTAAAATAACATATTTTGCCAATTCAATTCATTTTTATAGAATCAAAAGCTTTTGAAGTAGTCGATTTTAACAAAAGAAATTAGTATTGATCCGCCGAGTATTTCATTTAAATTCAATTGAATGTTTACAACAAACAATATCGCTTAAAGTAAAGCAAAATCTATAAATTTCCTTCGATTTCAATAGAAGATACATATTTTTTTAAATGTTTCTATTTAATTTCAGTAAATAAAATCATAAAATGTTATTTACCTACATAAAACTATTCCACATCAATCTGGGACAAGAAAGTCTTGTTTTGGCTACAATGGAAATTTTTGGTGTAAATTGTAAATACATTTTTATTTAATATCACAAATCAAACAGTAAAGTAAAATATTTGTTTAAAATGAATGTACCTGGTAATAAAACCTTAATATTTCAACAATAAAAGGACTATTTAATTTAAATCTGCTTAATCTGTAAGTACAACTACAACAGCTTATAGGAAATTGCCTTTTAGCCAAAAGGACGAAAAATAAATAAATGACCAAAAGTTAACGTGAAAATTCTGGAAAACACTCTGTATAGATATAAAAAAATAATTATACCGACAAAACATTAGATGTTTATGATCCTTGTTTAACAGTTATTGTACCTTTCAAGGTAGAAAAACGCTGTCAAATGAAGTTGTTATTTAAAAATTTGGCGTTTTATTTTTATTATTATGTACTAAGAACTCGTATATTAACATGATTAATGATTAAGTATACTTGGGTTGAACAAATTCAAGTTGAACTGTAGTAGTCATGATTCCAAACGTATATACAGGGTGAGTTTCCTACGATGTTCTCTATGGGTATCTCGGAAACTACTGGAGATAGAGAGTCGGTTAAATGAGGAAAGAATTGCAGTTTTGTGGGGTCATAAATATGCGCCTTTCAGATTTTTGAAAAAGTGCATGGCTTAGTAGATATTTCGAAAAAAACAAATTTCAGCTATTTTGAAAGTTGTCCCTAATTCCATTATAATCTATTTTAGACAAAACGTTTTCAGATAAAAGTTGTAGATAATGACATCCTTAATGAGATTGTGTCCTTCGTTTTTTTCTAAAGCCTGTCATTTTTGACATATGACAGAAATATATGTTTTTTTAAATGGAAACCATAGTTGGCTATGACTTCATAAAAAGCGCCATTTTTAAGCTTTTTAGCGATATAAGTTATAATATGTTTTCTTCGAAATATTACTGAGTTATAGCCAATTATTACAATTTTGTAAATATGAATTTTTCAAATGAAGAAAAGCGTGTAGATACTCGCGCATCAATAGAGTGGTTCCAACATGACTTTCATTATGACGCCCCCCCCCCCTCTAAAATGAAAGAAATGTTAAACATGCAATCTAAGTGAAATTAGTCAAGAAAGATAAGAATTGGCTATAACTAATTTAACTTTTTTAATATGTCTTGAAAACCTTTCTCTAAAAAACGCAACATTCACCGGTCAACGTATCCTCGAAAATGTATGGTCAAGAAAAGTTAAACCAATAATAATTCTACACACTTTTCTTCAGTTGAAAAATTTATATTTACAATATTTACAATTTTTGTTTATTTTCAGTTACAAAGTTTGGATGTGACAGTTTGATATTTCTTAGAGCAACGACGATTGAACTTGTTTCCATGGCTAACTAAGTGAAATTGTTTAAAAATTATAAGAATTAGCTATAACTCAGTAATTTTTCGAAGAAAACATATTATAGTTTATATCGCCGAAAAGCTTAAAAAATGGCGCTTTTTATGAAGTCATGGCCAACTATGGTTTCCATTTAAAAAAACATATGTTTGTGTCATGTGTCAAAAATGACAGGCTTTAGAGAAAAACGGAGGACACAATCCCATTAAGGATGTGATTATCTACAACTTTTATCTGAAAACTTTTTGTCAAAAATAGTTTATAATGGAATTAGGGACAATTTTTAAAATAGCCGAAATTTGTTTTTTTCGAAATATCTAGTAAGCCATGAACTTTTTCAAAAATCTAAAAGGCGCATATTTATGACCCCGCAAAACTGCAATTCTTTCCCCATTTAACCGACTCTCTATCTCCAGTAGTTTTCGAGATACCCATAGAGAACATCGTAGAAAACTCACCCTGTATATAACTCGTACTTAATTCATTCACTAATTGATAATGATAAACCCAATAATTCATTATATCTAATTTACAAATTTGAAAAACAGTTTAAAATAAAAATAACAGTAAATTTGAAATCATATTTTTACCGTTTGGCATACAGTAAAATTTACTGTTGCGTCTGGTATTCAAAATATGTGTATTCTTGCTGGAATAAAGATTCTTCTCAGTAAGTGATATGTGTACAGGGTGGAGCAGTTTCTGTTTACAGCAGAAATTTAGTACTCGATAGAAAAGGGTATATTAAGAAGAAAATCAATTTTGCATTTTCGTTTACTTAGTATTTTTCTCGTTTAAATTATGAATCACCCTGTACAATCCTGCTTATAATTTTATGGAGCAATGTAATATTGTCATACACACTTTCCAACCATATTCTCAAGTCTCAAGTACGTGAAAATGAGAAGTGGGTTTATCATTTTTTTATTTATATTATGATTTTTTTAAACTTAATCAAATAAAGAAATTTAAATAATATACATAATATCTAGTCTAGAACACAAATCACTTAATTAGCATATCATTTCTTATAACCTTGATGCTATGAATTTCTTTGCAAATTAATAATAATTATTATTTATTGTTCCGTGAAATAATTTATTATAAACAAAAGCTTGAAAGTGAAGAGTCATTTTATAAGTACGCGAATTTTTATATCATTTTTAATACCTACAACTCGGTCTTGCTAGAAATAGAATAAAGATAATAATTTATTATTACAAAACATATTGTCAAACGGCATTAGCAATGATGTATTAATATTTATCTATACTTGTCTATACCTAAAGCTTTTAATGCCAAAGAGAATGATTAAGTTGTAATAAAAATTATCAGAACGGTATTCAAGAAATTTATTTATGTTTTATTTTTATTCCAGGTAGTAATAATCATCAGCAAACATGTCTTTGGACGAGGTGAGTGTCATTTCATATATTTTTTAGATTATATAATGTTTTTGTCACATTCTCCATAAGAAATACGATTAAATAATGTTCCTTTTTTAACTTTCGAATAATTTATGCCTCTTAAAATTCAGAATATATTTTTTAATTAGTAGAAAAATTTAACAAAAATCTAAATTTTTTTCACTAAAAGAATTATAGCTATAGGGAAATTAAAATAACTTTGGTTGCACGACATCGTACAAAAAAAATAAATACATACATTATAAACCCAGCCACCTCTTGAAATTAATAATAATGTACAATAATATCCAAAATACAAATATGAAAACATAATAAAAAAGTAATGGTAGTTTAATAGTAAGAAAAAACAAAATATATCCACTAGAAACAAAATCCAAACAAAAAAAAGATCATACCTTCATGTAAATTGACGACACCTAATCTCTTTTTAAATAATGATAGTGGCAACACCAACAATTCCAAAATTTTGTTAAGGCAACAAGGTGCCATATACGAAAAACAAACCCTTATATTTAGATGAAAAGTGCCGCGGAATAGTGAATGAATCAGTTCTAACGCATCTTTCATGTATTTGTGATCTTTTTACAATTAGCTTATACAAATAATCAGGAATACAATTTCTAAACACTTTATACAACAATATCATATACAAATATTGACATCGCAAGGAAATTCGCGGTTCTTTTAGTTGTTCCAAATAGGGAGATATGTGTAACCCGTAAGGCAAGTAAAAAAAACACACAAGCCTCACACATGCATTTTGAATTTTTTGTAATTTTATGCAACTATAGTTTGGCAAAAAATTATAGTAAACCTGGCAACAGTAATCAATGTGTGGATAGATAAGTGACTTAACCAATAATAATTTGGTTTGTTCATCTAATTGATGTTTCAGGCTATATTAATATATTAATCTATACATAGATCTTTTATACACTTCAGTATAATGTTTTTGAAAGTCAAGACCGCTATCGAAATAAACCCCCAAATTCCTTGCCGATTCAACCCATTCAATAGTGCTACCATTAATACTTAATTTATAGTTATTTGAAATTAGTGTTCTATTAGTTAAACCACCAATACAATGAGCAACTGTTTTGCTAGAGTTGACGACTAACCCGTGATTTTTACACCACGAATCAAAAGAAACTAGAACGTCATTAACCATGTTTACAGTATGCTCAGCCTGGACAATGTGCGTGCTTAAATATGTTTGTCATCCGATATAGACGTCATCCGCATACATATGCATTTGACAGTTACTTATTGCTCTAGGCAGGTCAAATGTGTACAACAAAAACAACAGAGGACCGAGGATACTACCCTGGGGAACACCGCTAAAAGTTTCTTTTAAAGTTGAATACTGCGAATTATTTACTTTGACACGTTGACACCTCCCGTATAGGTAATCCTTAAACCAGGCCAGAGCAGCACCATCAAATCCAATAAAGTTAAGCTTAGCCAGCATTAACTCGAAGTTAACCAGATCAAAGGCCTTGCTTTGATCAAGTAGAACTAAAATTGTGCACATCGACCTATCCATAGCATATGCAATATCGTCAACAACCTTAAGAAGTGTTGTTGTAGTTCCGTAGCTTGGTCGAAAACCGGATTGAATAGATGGAATGGATAGAATATTTTTTTCAAATAACTTTGACAAGGCTGGTAGTATACTTATAGGTCGTAAATCATTATAGGAATTTGGAGTAGCTACTTTTGGTATTGGAAGTATGTTAGCAGTTTTCCATATGAGTGGGAATGTGCAAGTTGAAATAGATTGATTAAATATGTGTTTAATTAAATCAGTAGAATAATAATTTAATTAGTAGAAAAAGTTATCAAACTTTTAACTTTTCCACTAATTAATTATACTTCAAAATTTGCGAGGAATGTCATTTTGGCCTGTGATTATCATCCGTCAAGAGAAATTGTGGTTAGAAATCAAAAGTTGATTGTTTTATAAGCTATAAATATTAGGCTCTCTTTATGGACACAACTGACTAAGCCTGTGCTAGGATATTCTATTAATTTTAATTGTGCTTTTAGACATGGTGAATGATCGTAAACTAAAGAGTATAAAATGTAATTGAAACCACTAATTGCGAGGTTCTATTAAAATTAATGTTGTTAGGATACTCTATTAAAATTAATAGAATATTCTAGGAACATCTTGCGGTAGTCAGTTGTATTTGGTTGTATCTATAGAGAGAGCCTAATATTTAGCTTATAAAACAATCAACTTTTGATTTTTAACCACAATTTCTCTTGACGGATGATAATCACAGGCCAAAATGACTTTCCTCGTAAATTTTGAAGTATAATTAGTGGAAAAGTCAAAAGTTTGTTAACTTTTTCTACTAATTGAAAAAGACTACCAAAAATTTTGACGTTCTGAATGCTTACATGGAAATTAAAGGAACAAACTTCTGCGCTAATTGAAACCACTAACTGCGAGGTTCTGAATGAAGCTTAACTTTTTCCACTAATTGCAGATTACTCTACCACTAATTTCGAAGTTGTGAATGCTTACATTTATATTAGAGGAACCAACTTCTACGCTAATTGTAGCCACTAATTTTGAGGTTCTGAATGAAGCTTTAACTTTAAAGATATATTTTTAACTATACAGAGTGATTCAAACATAAATTCCGTAAAACAGCAAACAAGCATTTACTGATTTATGATATAATAAACGTTATTTTTTAGCAATTCAACAAAGCTGCAGAGGACGTGAAGAAATTGGCCTCAAAACCCTCAGACGATGACTTATTGGAACTTTACGGTTTGTTCAAACAGGCTACAGTCGGAGACGTGAACACAGGTAAAATCCTACATTATTACTTTATCATTTCTCTATAGGTATGCTTGGTACATTTTGGTTTAAAATTTTATGAGTTGAATAGTATTAGTGTGAATTTGTGAAAATTAATCAAAATAAAACGTTCATAAAAATTTAACCACTATATAGTTTATTTAAAAGAAGTACCATTAATATTAATCAAATTATATAATTTATCCTCATATAGAGGAAAAACTTTTTTTTATTGGTATTTTGAGAAAAATACGTTCTTTACGGCTGCCATTCACTAGGCGCTAGGCGATAAACGAGCAATCCGATCGAGCGATCTAGTCGCTTTCGATCAAATTGTTGAAAGATCTCCAGGTTAAGCAGAGTTTACACTGTGTTACTTTGGATGTACAACCAAAATGAATCACTCAGATTGAATTCATCCAAATTGAACATCCTTGTTTACATGTTTTCATCCAGTTCGCAGCAGTTCACTGTTTCATCTTCCGCAGGCTGCAACCTCACCCAGTGTTTCCTATATCAAATTCAAATTCAAATTCATTTATTGGTGTTGCCATACAATAGTATTTACACAGGACACATTACACAGGATAATAAAAAAAAGAAAAAATCAAGCTTAAAAACATAAATAAGTTACTAGTACTAAGTTAAAAATAATTGTATATAGACATTAAAACACTAAAACACTAAATAGAATAATGGCATCAACAATTAACCTAAAAACACTAAAATCTAATATTTAAAAATTCCTGGAAGGAATAACAGGAATACCGCATCAGCAGACCCTTAACCTCAGTCTTAAACCGCAAGAGGGGCATGTCCGCAATTTCCTTGGGTAATTTATTATAAAATTTAACCGCTAGGTACCCAGGTCCATCTTGGCACCTAGTCAATCGGTGGTAGATTGGCACAAGCTTATCCCTACCCCTTGTCTCATGGTGATGGACTTCTCCATGGACCCTCGAGGTTAGCCGCACGGGTCGACGTCGGCTGTTTACATTTTTCACTTGCCAAAACCAGCTGTACATCTGGATGAATCAACGGTTCGTTGAACGCTTCTTTCAACAAAAGTAGGAAGTCCGTCAACTTGTTTCATCGTTCAATATTAGTGTACACTTTGGATGAAGCAGCGATGAAAGGCAATTTATACTTATCACTTTGGATGATTCATCCAAGTTGTACAGCTGGTTCCAATAAAATTGAATAGAATTTAAAACATATTTTTTACCAGTCCCCCATTTCTCTATTCATGTCATGTTGACGTTCTGAAAAATTTATTTGCCACTTTGTCAACAGCAAAGTTGTTTTATACAATGTCACAATAACTTTAACATGTCAAAATACTTGACACATAAATATACACTGCCCAAATATTCGAGAAAAATGTGTAAAGAGTCGTATTCATTTTTTTTGGAACCAGCTGTACATCCAAAGTGACAAATGTAAATGAGCCTTTAGTGCGTCATTTCAATCAAATTGAAAGCGATATTGTTTCCTTTAATTTCAATGTAAGAATTCAGAACGTCAAAATTAGTGGTAGACATTTTAAATTAGTAGAAAAAGTTTTCAAACTTCTAACTTTACCATTAATTATACTTCAAAATTTGCAAGAAATGTCATTTTGGTCTTTGATTATCTTTTGTCAAGAAAAATTGTGGTTAGAACTCAAAAGTTGATTGTTTTATAAGCGAAATATTAGGCTTTCTATATGGATAACTGACTAACGCAAGCTGTTGCTAGGTTATTCTCGAGGTTATTCTATTAATTTTAATTGTGATTTTAAACATTGTGAATGATCGTAAACTAAAAAGTATAAAGTGTAATTGAAACCACTAATTTATTCCACTAATTGCGAGGTTCTGAAACTTAAAGCTCTCTCTGAAGCTTAAAGCTTCATTCAGTAACAACTGCACTAGTAAAAACCAAAATATTTAAATATTATGACATAGCCACGAATTTAATTATTATTATTAGTGGAACAGTTCTTATTTCTGCCGTACCGAGCGCTGCTGTCAGAATTCTAAAAGTCGGTTGAAATAAGATTGAAATCAATGACTAAAGAATCCAAGGACAAATAACACCCGAGAGCAAATTGTGCCGATGTCACCAAACAGTGCCGTGGCACATATTTTTCTAAACTAGGCTGTTTGAAGCAATATTTATATTTTTTGATAATTGTTTTGACTACGCCTATGGTGTATCATACTAATTAATTACGAAAAAAAACGTATTAAAATGTTAACAGAAGATACAAAACTAGTATCGACGTATAGCACATATCAAGTACATATAGATGTTAATTGAAATTGAAGAATAATTACCGAATTCAATAAGAAAACGCTAAAAAGTTGGAGTGAACTGTTTATTTACCTATGAAACGTTACTCCTGGCTCTTTCTTATCGCTGCTGCTTTTACATTTGAAAGCTGAACAACTAATCACCATTGTAATAAAGGTTATAAAAAGTTTACTACAAACAAACTATTAAAAATCGCTAAAATTGTCGCTGGTGGCCAAATGATGACTCATTGTTTGCCATCAAAAGAATGGCCTCTAAGGTCATAAATTCTGCTGCAGCCCGTATATGGGCGTTACATGTCCTTATATTCTTTAGTGATTGGTTGAAATGCACCAAGGGACCAAGCCTACAGATAGGATAAAAAATATACTTATTTTTCGGTAAAAAATAAATGCGTTTTGGGATTGAACTATACTATTAGTTATTTAATAAGCACCCGGAATCGTAATATCATTTAAATCTAGTTAAATTTACTCCTGTTTCATTCCAGACCGTCCAGGACTGCTGGACCTTAAGGGAAAGGCCAAATGGGACGCGTGGAGCGGTCGCAAAGGACTTGCCCAGGACAAGGCCAAAGAACAATACATCGCTAAAGTCAAATCACTGGGCGCCTAGTCCATATTCTACATTGCCTTATTTATATTAAAGTTTTATATATACACCTTTTGCATTCAAACATACACAGTTACTTAAGACTGTTTTAAATTATTTGCATTTTGACACTATTTTAATAAACCTGTTTGTTATATATTTTGTTTTATTCATAGATTACGCCTAAACGTTTAAAATATTTAAAACTTCAGTTTCTTTTTAATATATTCATGGCAAATAAAGGCATACTTGCCTATATAGCAGATGAAAATCTATTGAACAGTACCTGCAAAAAGTGTTTATGAAAGTAGATACTTTTTGGATGGAAAGAAAAATAGTTTTATATCTATATAGAAATAATATATGTATTCAAATATATACGACGTTTTACCCGTTTACTATCACATCCCACTACTTGTTCATATTATTTAAACTAACAATAAACTACTTATAAATTTTTATTTTATTTGAATTTTCATATTTGTATAAATTTAGAGATTTGGTAGGCAACCAATTATACTCCTCTATCTGGTTTGCATGAGGTTATGTTTACTTCTGTTTTTGTTTTTAAACTTTCAAAACTAATTTTACATATTATTTAAAAAAATAATAAGTAAAAGAAAAAAAAAGAGTTTTCTTGGTTATCGAATGGAAATCGGACGACCCACAGTTTACAGATATTTCATTGAATGAAAGTGTACGTGAAAAAAGTTAGCTGGTTTTGGTAATAATTGTATTCAATAATTTTTTTTCTAGTTCACACTCACACATCTCTGGCGAAATGTATTAGATATAGATAAGTGTCTTCAAAATAACCCAGAGCGAATCCAGGTTAAGATTGGTAATTATCTAGTTTAAAAATATTTTTTTTTTCATAAATCCCTCTTTTTAAGGCAGAGTTTCTAGTAAAGTATGATCTACAGACAGCTTTTATTAAGAAAATGATGAATGAGACACCAGGATCGAAGCATATATTATTTAAGCCCATAAACTGCAAATATGTTCAATAAATCACTTTAAATTAACTTTTTCTTGTGAAAAATGTATATCATATGCCAATTCACTATGAGAAGGTTTTTAGCTGTTCCTGATATGACTTTAAGGTAACAATTCATTGGTGACTTGTAAACTGTATAAAAAAACTATTTCGAAAGTCTCATAAAATGTTCAACTTCTTGGATCCAAAACTTTTACCAAAAATATCTTGTAAAAGTCCTAGTACTGATCATTATGAAGTTGAAAATCTTATAAGTTCAAATTATGCCGATAAATCACGAGGATTCATTGCTTATCCTTCCATAAAACCCCCAGTAGAAATAGAAATTGAATTTTTATGTAACATTAATATATTTTACATTGTTTTAAATACCACTGTGGGAAATTTACAATGTTCAGGCATCGAAATATATGCCAAAACTCCTAATACAACTTATGTATCAATATCTAAAGGCATATTCAACAATAAAGGGGCTATCTTTTGTAATAGTCGCAAATACTCTAAAGAGAATCCACCTCCAGCATACAATTCCGATTATTTTTTATGTTTCTTTAAGAGTAACATGTTTAGAACATTTTTGAATGCCTCATTCCTAAAAATACTAATTTTTAAAACTGAAAAATCTACACCTTGTTTGTCCTCTGTTGAGGTTTGGGGGCAGCCATCCAAAGCTTGTAGTTTCAATACTGTTCAAACTGTTTACAAGCTCATGGGACTGAAAAATAAAACTAATAATCTTGATACACCTAAAACAACTGCCAGTGATGATAATTTTGTTGTTCCTGATGATTTTAAAGATGATTTAACTCATGAATTGATGACTATCCCATACACTTTACCAAGTGGTCATACAATTGATCAGTCTACACTGGAAAAGCACAATAAAAATGAAGAATCTTTTGGACGAAAACCTGGCGATCCTTTTACAGGCCTCAAATTTAACAATGTATTGAAACCCATACTTAACGTGTCTTTAAAAAGTCGAATTGATATGTTCTTGTTACAAAATAGCCACAGATCTGAAACATTTGGTTTGAAAAGAAGTCTGAGGTCTTGTGATTTTAAGAGAAAAAAGTTGAAAGAATGTGATGATGCTGAAAATCCTTCAAGTTCTGGTGAAGGCTTGGATTTGTTAATACAAAGCGTAAAAGATAAGAAAGATTTTGTATCTTTTGTTGAAAGTGAAAATAGCACAGAAAGAACATGCATATTATGCGAGAATAAAATTGAATATGTTTATCAGTTACCTTGTCTACATTATTATTGCAGGAAATGTTTACTTAATATTTGTAAAAGTTGTATTTGTTCTAAATGCAATGGTGTGTTTACCAAAAACCAGGTGGTTAAATGTGAAACTTAATTTATTTTTGTAAATATATTATAATTAATTTTATACTTAGATATTAAAAATTTGTAAATACATATATTTTATTAGACATTCAAGTTTTTGTTTTAATCAGATCCTTTTTTGATATTATGATCTATTACATTAAAGTGACTCTGTTTATGTTTCTTCATACTGCTTGAATCGTAAAAGCCTTTCTCACAAACACTACATACATATGGCGTTTCCCCTGTGTGGATTCTAAGATGAACAGTTAAGTTGCCTTTTATCGCAAATGTTTTGGCACAAAATGAGCAAGAATATGGCCTAAAATATTCGCCATGTTAATTTTTAACTATTTTTTTATCGTGTAAACATACCTTTCACCACTGTGAGTTCTTTCATGAACCTTTAAATGTGAAATTTGTGTAAATGATCTCATACAAATAGAGCAACTGTACGGTTTATAACCAGTATGAACAAGACCGTGTGTGACCAGGGATCCTACGTGAGCAAATGACCTGTTACAAATATTACATACATGTGGTTTTTCACCTGTATGAATCTAAAAAGGATAATTTTTAATTCTGGAAAAAATATAAGCAAATCAATTTACCTTAGTATGGGATTGAAGATCAGCCTTTCTAATAAATCCTTTTCCACAAACATTACATAAAAACTTTCTTTCTCCGTGGCTGATTTGATGTCTCTTAAGAAATATCAATTGGGGAAATGTTCTGTCGCATTTATCACATTCGTATGGAGAGCCCTCTTCTTTAGGATTGATTTTTAAGTCAATTTCATCATTTTTTTCTGGATCTTGTTCTGCTTCTTTTGGATGAAGCTTTCTTATGTGTCGCTTGAAAGATACGAATCTAGCAAATGTTCTGCCACAAATATGACATGTGTAAGTCTCTTTTTTATCTGCCATGGTATGTTTCTTTAGATGTACCTCTAAAGAAGTAGCTTGAATAAAACCTGAAATGTATTAAAATTAAATAACTTTTTAAGTTTTCATATAGTTAAGTTGCTTATTATCGCAAATGTTTTGGCACAAAATGAGCAGGAATATGTCCTAAATCTACATGTGAATATCAACTAATATTAATTACCTTTACCACATGTATCACATACATGAGGTTTTTCTCCAGTATGAATCATTTTGTGTCGTCTTAAATTACCATTAAGACTGAAACTAGCATTACATTCCCCACATTTAAATGGTTTTTCTTTAGTGTGTACTCTAAGGTGTATTGCCAATTTGTGTTTAAAACTAAATAATTTGTTGCAATATTTGCAGGAGTACTTTTCTTTGTCTTTAAAACCGCTCGCTTTGCTTCCATTTTTTAGTTTCGATCTTTTTTTCTTTTTGAAAACTGTCTTTTTTCGTAATATTAATGGAACATCATCTTCAGAACAATTCGAATTAATATCTGAAAGTGGAGAAAAAGCATCATCTGACTGTGGGTCATGTTTAAGTTCTTTGTCTAAATATGCTTTTAAAAGTTCTTTGCTTTCATTACATTTGGTTTTGAATCGATGGTAATCATTTAGGAAGCTTATACATCCAGAGCAAATACACTGAGGTAATCTTAGATCTAATAAGTCCTAAAAAAGCTTCGTTAGACGACAATCAAACAATCCTTATTTACAGAATACTTCTAAGGGAATAAAGTCAATTAAAATATTGAGAAGGTCAACTTCTTCAGCTAATTTAACATCTTGAATATAGTGTACGTTATCGACTGTAACGCAAATTCTACAAATTTTCTGGAGATCCTCTAGTTTAGTTTCCGGATATATTTTTGTTTGGATCTCCATTTTTTCGATTGTTTTTGTTTTTGTTAGGTTAATAATATGTTAATAATGACAATGACAGATAAGTGAGGCCATTACGATAGAAAATTTTCAGATTGGTAACTGGTTGATCATATAAATTAATTTAATATGATATTCATATTTTGCGAATGGCGGGAATATTTAAAATTCAAAATATCTACTGCGTTCAGACATATTCTATGATTCAGTCTTGAATCATTAACTACATAAAAGAAATAAGTACGAGTTATCAAAGTTATTTTATTGTAAATATAGGTATTATTATAAGTTTTATACTTTGGTACTAAAAAGATTTGTAAATATATACATATATTTTTATTAAATATTTGTATTTTACTCAGATCCTTTTTTAAGACTATGATCTACCACATTAAAGTGACTCTGCTGATGTTTCTTCATACTGCTAGAATCGCAAAAGCCTTTTTCACAAACACTACATACATATGGTGTTTCGCCAGTGTGGATTCTCAAATGAACGGTTAAATTGCCTTTTACAGCAAATGTTTTAGCACAAAATGAACAGGAAAATGGTCTAAAATATTCACTAAGTTAATTTTTTTAAATATTTTTTAAGCTTAAATATATACCTTTCACCAGAGTGTGTTTTTTCATGAACTCTTAAATGGGCAACTTGTGTAAATGCTCTTGAACAAATTGGACAACTATAAGGCTTATATCCTGAATGAATCAGACCATGATTTACTAGGGATGCTACATGAGCAAATGATTTGTTACAAATATTACACACATGTGGTTTCTCCCCGGTATGAATCTATAAAAAGAACCTTTTAACTTAAAAGAATTATCATGATAGCAAATCAACTGACTTTAGTATGTGATTGAAGATCTGATTTTCTAAGAAATCCTTTTCCACAAACATTACACAAAAACTTTCTTTCTCCGTGTCGTATTTTATGCCGCTTGAGAAATATCAATTGGGGAAATGTTCTGCTGCATTTATCACATTCATATTGAGTGTTCTCTTCTTTTGTTAGGATTTTTGAATCGGTCGTTTCTTCCTTACTTGTATCTTGCCCTGCTTCATCAGGATGGAACTTATTCATATGCCGTTTAAAATATATGACTTTAGCAAATGTCCGGGAACAAATATGGCAATTGAAAGTCTCTTTAGACTCTTCTCTGCGATGTTTCTTTAAATGCATCTCTAAAGAAATTGCCTGAATAAAACCTAAAATGTATAGAAATAAAATAATTGTAGCTAGGAAATTTCATTTTAATGCTACAATAATTTTGCCTTCAACTTACCTTTGCCACATGTATCACAAACATGAGGTTTTTCCCCAGTATGAATCATATAATGCCTCTTTAAATTACCACTATGACTAAAAGTTGTATTACATTCAACACATTTAAAGGGTTTTTCTTGCGTGTGCACTCTAAGGTGTATCGTTAATCTATGTTTGTTTTTGAATACTTTATTGCAATATTTACAGCTATATATCTTTTTAGTTCTTTTTTCTTTCGCTTTACTTTCCTTTTTCAATTTTGAACTTTTTTTCTTCTTGACCTCTGGCTGTTCTGGTGACCCTAGTGGAACATCGTCATCAGAATAACTTATCTTAACATTTGAAAGTACACAGTTATCATCGCCAGACGACTGGTCCTGTTCCTTTGGCGGATTTTCTAAGTATGCTCTTAAAAATTCTTTACTCTCACTACATTTCGTTTTAAATTTATAGTAATCTTTCAGAAAAGTTATGCACACAGAGCAAACATTCTGAGGTAATTTTAGATCTGATAATTCCTAAAAAATCGTTCTTAAAACATTGAAACGAGCTTTATACAAAAATACCTACCTCTAACGGGATAAAGTCAGTTAAAACATTTAAAAGCTCAACTTCCTCAGTTATTTTAACATCACGAATACTCTGTATGTTTTCCGGTGAAACGCAAATCCTACAGATTTTCTGGAAATCTGTTGGTTTATATTCTGGCAAGAATTTCGTTTCAATATCCATTGCTTTTGAAAATTGTTTATTTTGTTTCTTGACCCGTCTCCCGTCTCTAGTCTATAAGTTAGGTTAAAAAAGACAGTTGTTTTTGACAGAGTAAAATGTTTCTGTGGTTAATATAATTGATCATATAATTTAATTTTATATGATCGTGAAGTCCTGTGAAGACCATTTGTCTTTTGGAAATGGTACCATATCTCATATCTGACCATATTTAAAATTTAAACTTAAAAATCTGTTAAAAATTATAAAGTGAAATGGTGAAAAGCCAAAAAAGAGGATAAAATAAATTATAATACTTTCTTTGAAGTAAGTGTGATGTAAGTAATGGACATGTAATGGAATGGAGTAAACGAAAATAAGTGAAGGTTAATGAGGATAAAATTAATTATTTTTTAAAGAAAATAAAAATATAAAATGTTTTAATTATACCTATTTTTGCACTTTTTTATTTGTTTTTTTAAAGCCCTCCATAGTTTTTTTGTACATTATTATATTCTTTATCAAAGCCAATAAAAGCTGTGCCAATAATATGTAGGTGGCGAAGATAGATCTTCGCTTTTTCACTGAATATTTATTAATTCATATATGAAAATTAAAAAAAATGTTTTAGTTTATTATTTTTAATCCAAAAGAACTACTTGAACTTCGGTAATTGGAGTAGGCCTTGTGTTTTTTCTCCAATTGTTTGAATTTCCATTGGCTGCTATTGATAACAAAAAGTCAAAAAACACTTTGAGTGTGCTTTCAGTGCTATTTGAGATTTTTTATTACCAGTCAGAGTACGATAAGAAAATTGATATAAACCCGTATTACATAAATATACAACATACTCTTATTAAAATATGGATATATACTCTAGTTTCGCGGTTATATAAGGTACAGTTTCTTTAACGTTATTTGATTGATTATAGACGATCTACTCATAGGTATAAGACATAAACGTTCAAAAACTAAATAAAATAAGGAAGTTTGGTTTATGTAATTATGGTTCTACAGCAGTCTGTTGGGGTAAGTTTGGTATATGAAACTTTAAAATCTTTTTTACGTTTTTTAAACCTTTCTTAAGTGAAAAATGCACAACTTTGTAGTGTTTTATGATGCGGGCTTGAAAGCACTTTGCTCTATTAGAAGCATAGTGCTTTTTGAATATTTCAAGAGTTCGTTTTTGAAAATTTTCTTGACATAGTGGTAAATTTTTATATATTTTCTTGTAACTAAAAGTAATATACCTAAAAAATATATACGAGAATACGAGGGAGTATTATTACACATCCAGGTAATTATTTACATAAAAATAGTTCAATTAACATTACACATAATATTAATTCAAGCTGGTAATTTATTTTATTTTTGTTATAAGGTATGATCGAAAAAAACGGCGTCCAGTTGGCTTGGAAATGAACATCAATGACATTCCTCATATAATTTTACATACAGGGTCCGCCGGCTACCTCTGAAAAAAAACGTAGAAAAACTATTTTATATTTTAGCAAGTTTGGCTTAGAATTTTGAACATACTGTATGGTTTAAGATTACGATATTTATAGAAAGTAAATCAGATCAGCTATAGTAAATACCCAGTATAGTTTTGATTTCAGGACATTTTTTGTATTTTTAATATTTAAAAAAATCATGAAAAAATATATTATATTTTTCATATATTCATTAATGTCTCTAAAACCATCAAAACATATTTAATAATATCTTAGGATTATGTAAAGTGATCAGAAAGGAAGCAAAAAATGCAATAATATACAGGGTGTATATTATGTTGTGTGTGTTATGGTTAGGTGCGTATTATGGTGTGTTTAAAAAATATTCTCGCGATCTACTGACCGTTTTTTGGGCCACCCTATAGAGGTTAAAATATTTTTCTGACATACATCCTAATACATACTTATAGGTATACAAAATTTCTAAGGTTTTTTATTATAGGAGCTACAGATGCCCGACGCACTATTGCCGAACCCTGTGTAAAATGACAGCGATCTTTATTTCATAGCCGTTTTTTTTCGATTATAATGTATAATCTTGTATACGATTGTGTTTTTGGAATAGTCTCCCCACAAAAGTTTGTCTACAAAAACTCTTTGAGCAAATATATTTTTTGTTCCCTGTGTATGATGTAATTAGGTATTTAAATTTTAGCTAGTTTATTAATTTGTAGATTCATGGTATACAGTAACTTATCAGGAACATAATTTTTTAAGAAACTTAAAATGTATTTCTATCAATATGTCTCTTCGTTGGACACAACTGCTGTAGCTACCTACTTGTAAGTATAAATATTTTTAATAATTTTTAGTAAAAAATATTGTCTTTCGCTTTACACAGGGTGCTTCAAAAACATGTACCATCTCACGGGGAGATTCCTGACGCAAAAATAATTTTTATTTTTTATATATACATGGGTCCGATTTTGCTTTCTTTCAGCTAAAAATCTTCATTTTTTCCATTTATTATAATTTTGGTCCAGTTCCAAAAAAACGTGCGCCACTGAAACAGCAGAATTGGATCTATATATTAATATGAAAAATAAATCTTAGTTTTACGCGAGATGGCACTTGTTCTTTGAAACACCTTGTATAGATAGATAATATGAATAATTATAATTAAAATATAAGTAGAAGTCTCTTAGAGAAATAGGTAAATATAGAGGGGTTCTGATATATAAGCAAAGTATATAAGTAATTATATTGGATTGGTTCAATCATTAGTTTTTTTCATTAAATTATTAGTTTAAATTGAGATGTTCAGATTGTGATGTATCAACAAAAGTTTTTCTCTATGTTTACTTATTTCTTTGAGGACGAAATAGTGTCTACCTATAGATAATAAAACTAATTATTGTTTTCTTAAAAACTTATTTAAATCGTATATTTTCATCTATGCCAGAGACTTAAATACAAGAAAATGGATAATACCAAGTCCATACGTGCAAATTTTCGTTCTAAAAACTGCGTTTTATCCGTATTATACATATAATCCCTTAGAGGAAAATAAGGGAATATTCATGTTAAACCACGAATTTGCGAGACTATTCTTTTGCATATTCATTTTTCTATTTATTTTGTAATGTTTGGAGGGTACACGTGCATGGTGCTTATACGCTTTTACTGCACCCGGGCATTTTCTCTAAGGTTTCCCTATTTTCCAACAAGGGATGTGCAACAATATCGACGTGTCAAAATATCGATACTGGTTTAAAAATATCGATATACTGGACAATTTTTTGATGGATGATTTTTTTAAATTGACATCAGTCATCGACGTCAAAGTGAAAATTACAATTTTTTTTTAAATTTGAAAATACAAACATTAGATTCTGCAATCAGGTGAGGGCAGTTTAACCTTTACTTTCAAATGTCCATTTAGGATGTCCGCTGTTATTCAACTAGTTGAAAAAAAGGTGCTTTTTTGAAAAAATATTTCGTATATTCAACGAGTTTTTTTTTATTTCCTGAGACATGTAATAGTTGTCACATGTTATATATATGAAAGTACTATATGATCGAAAAAAAAACGGTGTCAAATACGGCTGGGCAATGACAATCGATGAAAATTTTTGGCTAGGTCAATCTCTAGACGTAAAATAACTTTTACTCAATACAAAATAAATTATAACCTTCTTAAGAAATAAAATTAGAAAATAAAGTTATTTAAAATTTAAAAAAATACGTCCAGACTTTATCATCTATCGTGATTCCCCAGCCGTCTTTGACGCCGCTTTTTTTCGATTGGTGTTTTGAATTTATTATACACAATTTTTTTCTGTAAGTCTATAGTATTTTTTATATCGATATTTTTTCTTAAAATGCCCATCCCTATTTTTTCCAGCATTAAATTATGGTAGATCCTAGCACTTTGCGCAGTTTGCCGTTTTGTTTATGAGACACGTTGTCGTTCTGTTAGCGCGGAAAATGTTTTAGAACTGATATTTTTCAAAAACCTTATTCGCCAGAGTTTAGAACCTTTTTTTGTCCAAAACAATACCCACCTTAGAAGCTTTTCCGTGTTGTTTTTTTTATTTAGTTTAAAACAAGAGACGAAGTTTTTAAAAAGGATATTACATTTAGTACTCGTATACAGAGTGTTTCATAAGCCAGTTGAAATATTAAATGAGGTGTTTTTCACAAGGCCTCAAAAAAAATGAGATTTGGTTTATTAATAGACGACATAAATTAAGATTGATTGAGGTTTTCAATTCGTTTCGATCACTTCATGTTTCACCGGAAATGACTACAACTTTTGATTTTTAAATGTGGTACCCTGGATATTTTTTACATTATTTGTTAGAAAACATTCTGAATAGAATAGCATTTCACTTGCCAACTTTTGACATCTTCGCTTAAAAATGGTATTTTAAATTTCAATCTAGACTACCATGGCTGTGTTAAAACCACTAATTTTTAATCTAGGAGCCTTGGAAAAATACATTTGATAGTCTAATGTTTTTGAACATGTTTCCTGGCTGATTAAAATATGCCCTCATCGTATTTTTAATCATAACTCTTTTTTTTCTAATGGAAAGAGGGTGGCTCTTTAGCATTCTGGAAAAAAAACATTTTTACGCATAATTTGGTACCCTATACTTGGTATTTCAAGTCCAATTGTTATATTTATTGTGGTGGCACTCTAGATTTAATTTTAAATACTATTTTCTCTAAGCAAAAATGTCAAAACTTGACATATGATACGTCATTTTATACAGAATGACATTTTCTATCAAATAAAGTAAAAAATGCCGAGGGTACCATTTAAATATCGAAAGTCATCTGTTGAAACAGAAAGTGACCGAAACTAATTGGATACGTCAATCAATTCTGATTTATGTCATGTACTACCTACTAACATAAAAAATTTCGTTGTTTTTTATCTAAAAAAATAAAAGATTATAGGGGTGAATAATTTATTTTAAAAACATCCGATATGCCCTTTGAAATTAAAAACAACATATTTTTTAGACAGACCTTTAATATTAAAGCGGATTCTGACGACTCGTGTACTTGGCAAGTACCTACACCAATATTTACGTACTTGGCAAGTATACTATCTTTGTAAACAACATTTTTTGGCAACAAGCTTGGCGCTGACGCGGCAAGACAAGTGACAGATAACCGAACAAGGAAACCGCTTACACAACATGGCAAATATATCCCAGTAACAAATGTTTGTACAGGGTGAGTCTACAGGGTAGTTTACAAGAAATATTAAATATAAAAGTTATAGGGACGGTTAATAGTACGAGAGCTAGCAACGTCGGAAAAACAAGTATTTTAAGACGTCTGGCTCTTTGATATATTTTTTACTATGCTCTCTAGAACAGCTTGCGGCCCGTCTGGCTGCCGGTAAACGTTGCGTTCCATACTGCGCATTGAAAGAATATCCTATATTTATATTAGTCCTTTAAATTCTAGTATTGAATATAAATCGAACATGTCTCCATAGCGCAGTGCGTAGAGTTTCCGATCACGAACCGAAGATTCAGAGTTCAGATCCGGGTCAGGTCAAAGACTTTTTTATTTTTATTTTTGTTTATATTCTGATAGTAAAGTATTAAATATTTGTTTTTTTTTAATTACCAAAATTATTTAATACTTTACTATCAGAATATAAAGGAAAATAAAATAAAAAAAGTCTTTGACCTGACCCGGATTTGAACTCTGAATCTTCGGTGTGTGGTCGGAAACTCTATGCACTGCGCTATGGAGACATGTTCGATTTATATTCAATACTAGAATTTATACGACTGAATTAATAAAAAATATGGGATCTTCTTCCGATGCGCAGTAGTAAACGCAACGGGTATCGGCAGCCAGACGGGCCGCATCCTATTCCAGAGAGCATAGTAAAAGATATATCAAAGAGCCAGACGTCTTAAAATACTTTCTCGAAAACGTTGCTAGCTCCTCTTAGACTATAAGATACACATTTTAAAATGATTATGGAGTATACAGGGTGCTTCAAAAAAGTGTGGCGAATATAACATGTTTTTTTTTAAAATGCAACTCCCTATTTTTTATTTTATTTTAAGATTCTCCGTAAAATTCCATAACTATTTTATATATATGTAATGTTATATACCTAAAATTAATAGTTTTCGTAATATTTAAATTTGTTTAAACATATGTTAGATTGCAGTGTGGTAAAAAATTATCAGTGATGCCATTGCTTCTGAAGTTGGAGAACTAAAATTTGGTTGGAGAATTTTATAGAGATATAGAAAAAGACGTATGTAAAGATATTTTACTTAGATGCTATAGGGTGTTTAAAATATATGTATTTATGAATTTCAACTACTTAAAATTAAAAAATCTCAAATTTTTTAAATGGCGCACCCTATATATTATCATTTTTTTCTGATAGATTTTACAAAATTTTTCAACTTTTGTTAAGTATGTCGTATACCTATTTTTAATAGTTTGCGATTTATTCCAATTTTACCCATATCTTAAATACACCAGGGAATTCACGACTGCGAATTTAGTTTATTTGAGTAAAGTTACTTGATTTTAACTAATAATAACAATTATTACTAATTATTTAACAACTTGTTAATAAGTAATACATGTTTTTGTTTTGTCATGGCAACTATGATGTTATAGATTATAATTGTATTAAAAATATGGGTAAAAATAGAAAAAATTGGAATAAACCGCAAACTATTAAAAATAGGTATATGACATACCTAATAAAAGTTGAAGAGTTTTGTAAAATCTATCAGAAAAAATGAAAATATATAGGGTGTACCGTTTAAAAAATTTGAGATTTTTTTAATTTTAAGTAGTTGAAATTCATAAATATATTTTGAACACCCTGTAGCATTTAACTAAAATATCTTTATCATTTAACTATATATTATTATTATAGCTTATAGCATTTAACTATATATCTTTTTTTTCATCTCTATAAAACTCTCCTACCAAATTTTAGTACTCCAACTTCAGAAACAATGGCACCACTGACAATTTTTTACCACACTGCAATTTAGCATTTGTTTAAACCAATTTAAATATTACAAAAACTATTAATTTTAGGTATATAACATTACATATAAAATAAAATTATATAAGGATTCTTGCCACTTAACTGTCTTTGTCATAATGTGGATCAACCTGCTCTCACTACCGGTTTCGGAGCCCTACTCCATCATCAGGTGAGCTTGGGCAGATCCACAAAATGACAACCACAGCGCAGAGATAGTTAATTCCGACTTGTCGGAAAGTGTCTGTTAGATATTAAGTCCCGAATGGGAGATAGCGGCCTGCGTGCAATGGTAGTAGTTTCATACCACCTAGGCGAAACTATCGATAGTAAAAAGATGGTAAAAGGTACGCAGGCAGGTTTGCACGCAGGCCGCTATCTCCCGTTCGGGACTTAATATCTAACCGACACTTTCCGACAAGTCGGAATTAACTATCAGCGCTGTGGTTGTCATTTTGCGAATCTGCCCAAGCTCACCTGATGATGGAGTAGGGCCGGGACATGTCGGCCTAGAGGGAAATGAACGTGCTGATTCCCTCGCCAAAATTGGTGCAGGCTCGCCATTCGTGGGCCCAGAACCGACACTTAGCGTTCCTAAAAATCTCGCAAGAGAGCGACGTTCCGGGACTGGAATGACAGTCCCGGAATAGAACATGCCAAGAAAATCCTAGCAGGGCCATCCAAACATAGAACAGGAGAACTCCTAAAGGCCGGTAGGAATGGAGCGCGTACGCTCACTGCAGTGTACACGGGCCACTGCCGGCTGAGATCTCACCTACAGAGGATGGGACTGGTGGAAGACGCCGAATGCCGACTCTGTATGGAAGATGACGAAACAATGAAGCACGTTATGTGTACCTGCCCCGCTGGGGGCAGGACCAGGTTTGAGATGTTTGGCAAACCCATGCTAGACCTATCAGACCTAGGAGACATATCGCCCTCAGACATAACGGCCTATATTAAAAGGCTGGGTCTTGAGGGTGAACTTTGACGCTTTTGTATATTAGAGCTTGTAGAAACTGAGCCACAATAGGCCCTCGCGGCCGCAGTGGAGGGTCCAATGGGACTCACTCTTAGTCAATACAGGCTCACCTGATGAAGGAGTAGGGCTCCGAAACCGGTAGTGAGAGCAGGTTGATCTACGTGACAAACACAGCGTAGAATTAAATTTCTATATCAGCAGTTAAGTGGCAAGAATCCTTATATAATTTTATTATATACCTATACTGCAAGAAATTTGTTTTCTATTTTATTATATATAAAAAAGTTATGGAATTTTACGCAGAATCTAAAAATAAAATAAAAATAGGATGTTACATTTAAAAAAAAACATACATATGTTATATCCGCCACACTTTTTTGAAGCATCGTGTATACTTTATAATAATTTTAAAATGTATATCTTATCCTTCCTATAACTTTTATATTTAGTTTTTTTGTAAACCTCGAAACAAATGAGATAATGGACTTTACTCTATCGTTGACTCACCCTGTACAAGTACACGGGTCGTCAGAATACCGCTCAGAAGAAATGTTCCCACCCATACCCACCCAACTTTTTTCTCTTTTTAATACATTTGATTTGCCATTAAGCTGCCTACATCACTGTCTTACACGTTAAAATCCTATACACAGAGTTGACCTGTCCCGATGTGTATGTATAGTCTTTATAAATAAATTGATATCTGTTTTTAAGTATATGGTCCAATTACATTCGAAAACAGTTTTATTATACACCTAACGAACGTAAATACCACGTTTATCACGTCAAGTTGGCGTTGTCACTGGGGTCTTTGTCCAGGGCTGTGTCACCTCCGTTGTCCCAGCCCAGGCTGAACATCTCTTTGGCTTTCTTGTCCCACACACCCTTGTTCTTCTGGATGTCTTTCGTTTTTAGGGCTACTTGGGCGTCGGGCTTGCCGTAGTTGGGGGGATTGGCGTAGGGGTCGTAGCCCAACACGGAGAGCATGGGGGCTATGTCGGCCATGTCGCGGACTACGTCGTCAGGGATGTTGCCAACCCACTTGGTCAAGGCCTCGAGGTTGACAGGTTTGATCACTTGGTCGGAGGATCTCTCCACTCTGGAATAAATTGAAAGGTGATTAGTATTTTTTTTTACTTTCTTAAAGTTAATTATTAAATATTACAAACTACGTTCCACGTTTATAAACATTTGTTTTAACGTTTTTTCTGTTCGTGTGAAAGGTTTAAAGAAATAAAGAACATTATACTGTTGAGTGAAATATGTCTAAAGAACTAAGTCGCATAAGTAAAAAATGTTACAATATACAGTCTCTGGTAAAACCCTTAGATAATATAGAGGGTTGTTCAAACTGTATTCCGGAAACCTCGGCAGCATATTGTGCAGATAAAAATATTTGAAAAAGTTCGTATAAATGAATGTCCTAAAATGCTTAGTTTCGGCGATACAGGGTGTAGCAGTTTCATTTTTATTTCGATTTTTTCCAAATAATTTATGAAATAACGTCAATATTTGGATGAAAATTTGTGTCTGCGAGTTTTTTGACATGAGAAATTTGATTTTGATGTCAATATGACTCCTATACTAAAACTACCGAATGAAAAAATACATTTCCGTGATTTTTACGTAAGAAATGTCTCTTGGTAAAAATCGGTACGAGCAACCGTTCTTAATATATTTATAATGGAAATAGTCAATACATGTCATTATTGACAAAAAGTGAACATGTTGAGTAGATAGTTATTTGACTGAACTGATAAATTTTGGGAAGTTTTTATTTTTTTTAAATCATAAATTTTTCTTCGCAGATATGATGATAAAACAGTTTCTGTTGAATTTTTGGCATAAAAATGTTTCCAATTTATGATCTTAGTCTAATAACTATTTAGTCAACAATGTCAACATGTTTAATGTATGTTAATGATGACAGGTATTGATAATTTCGATTTCAAATATTACTCGTGGCGATTTTTACTAAGAGACCTTTTTTACGTAAAAAATCACGAAAATGTATATTTTTTCATTCGGTAGTTTTAGACAGGTACGGAAGAAAAGTTATTACTCTTAAACCTAGTTAAAATATGTAGGTGGCACCCTCTATAAGTAGGAGTCATATTGTCATCAAAATCAAATCTCCCACGTTAAAAAACTCCCAGACCTCAATTTTCATCCAAATATTGACGTTACTTCAGAAATTATTTGGAAAAAAAACCGAAATAAAATTAAAACTTCTACACCCTGTATCTCCGAAACTAACCATTTTAGGACATACATTTGTACGAAGGTTTTTACTTATTTTTATCTGCAGAATATGTTGCCGAAGTTTCCGGAATACAGCTCGGACAACCCTGTATAGTATATTCCCGAATTGTCCTTTCAAGAGGAAAACCTTTTTTATTATTCAATTTTGATAAAAATACATTCTTCTTAAAAAAATTGCTTGTTCTAAAATGGTTAAGGAATGCATTTTTCTCAAAATGTCAATAATCAAAAAGTTTATCCTCTTGTAAAGACAGACAATCCGGGAACATACTGTAGAGTACCGCAATTGACTCCATTTAGAGGCGGGAAGTTTAAAAATAAGACCATATTATATTATTATAAACAGCAGCCAAAACGTACTATCGTTAATGCTGACGATTCACATGTTCTATAAAAAATCACACAAAGGTATTTTTTCACAATCTATTGGAAATTTCACAATTTATTGGAAAAAATATGCAATTTGTTATTTTAAGCTGTCGAGATATTGATAAAAATATACATGCATCAAAACCGTCATGTTGTGTTGATAGACGTCGCTGCTTTAATGAATATTTAATCACAAAGATTAATTAAACTCTAAAACGCCTGCTCCAGCAAGAAGGCTTTTTTCCTGCAGGCGTAATAATAAGTGGCGCGCAGTGCAAATTAACGCAGGGTAAATTGGGGAAAATAAATGCAGACTTGGCATCACTGCGCGGGACAGCGATCGACACTGACGAAGTTAAATCACGCGTTACTTCCTTATTCCATCTCTTTTTCACACACTGGCTTTCCACTCATTGTGGTTTGCAGAGTACGTGGAAGATTCCCAAAGGCGTAGCTTTTGATATCCCATTAGAGACAACTTAAAGTATATCATTCTTCCTTCGCGTAAATCAGCCTTATATAGGAACTGTGCAATAACGCAGCAGTCGAAAACGATGTAAAAATATCTTAGACAATCTCTAGAATAAAAATAATATAAACCATGCTTCTAGCTAATATTTGTTAGGGCAGTAATGAGTTATAATGTAAAGGATTTTATGATGTTGAGTGGGATAGGCAACGGCCTTTTTGCCTGAAATCTACACTATCGAAAGATGCGTACTTATCTTAGATAGGAACTATGGGAAACAATAAATAACCATCTAATCCGATAGTCAAGCAGCATTAAAAGCGATCAGTTCAATAACCAATAATTGGAAGTTGGTCAAAGAATGCCTAAAGAAGCTGATAAGAAGAAAGTCCTCGTGCTATGGGTGCCAGCCTAGGAATAGAAGAATAGCCCACCAGGGGATAGAAGGCAATGAAAATGATCTAGCTAGAAAAAAAGCGAACACTCCACTAACTGGAAACTGGAACTCAAGAACCTGGAAGACTCCATCCGTTGAAGACATTTCTCAGAACTTACGACTGACAAAAATCAAAGATTTTCATTGACTTCAATAAGAACAATCTTCGGATTGTCACGGGGTTTTTAACAAACACTGTCTCCTCAACGAACACCTCAGTACATTGAAGCTAAGAAACAACGACGAATACAGATTCTGTGGGGAAAATGAGGAAACACCAGAACACCACATCACTGAGAGAAGTGTCTAGCCCTAGCAGTCAACTATTAAGCTTGACCAATCAGGTTGGTTAGCGTGGTTATTTGGAGTGTGTTAATTCATTTGTGTTTGTCAAAAACTCTCACGTGATTGGTCGGGCTTAATAGTTGCCTGCTAGGGCTAGACACAAGTTCACTGAGTGCGCCGAGACGACAACCATTCGTGCCATAAACTTTGGTACGACTGACATCGGAGATAGAGCAGGAATCTCTGTAAAACCGTTTCAGATACTGGATTTTGTCAAAGCTCTGAGACTGTATGATATGGTAACTCATGAAAGTCATGAAAGGGGCCACAATAGATCGGTCAGGTGACGTCGGTAACCCCCTTCCCATACATTCTGCATTCTACATCGTCTTTGTGCCCGCATTAGAAGCACGCCTCTGATAAAACTAAACTAATAACTTCAAAGAGTGTATATTTTCATGAAAATATCGATTGGAAACGTGATGAACGAACGCTTATTATCTTTTTGTCGCTTTTTATGGCTGTTTTTGTTGTCAGATCGAGATCGTACTGATCGTAAATGGGAGAACAAACAGCGAAGGACTGAAACATGAAGTTTTCCGAGGAAAATTACGAGATTTCAGCGTCGAACGCTTCGTGGATAATTGGAAAGCGATTTGCGGACGAGGTTTTCATTAGTTTTTCATTCGGGTCATGGACTCGGGAAATATGACAATACGGACATTTTCAGAATCATATTGAGAGTATTGCGACTATTACAAACAGCTAAAAATCATTTTTTTTTCAAACGTCGCAAAAGTATTAATTTTGTGCGACGTGATTGACAACATAATTTTCATTTTAACGCCTAATCATCGCATCATCGTCATTTTAACGCCTAGGCATAAAAGTAAAGCACTTTTACGCCTAAGTACAAATACACGAAAATATATTATTAAACTGACATAAAGTGTCAAATTCAACGAGCGTAACCATAGTTTTCTCAATATATAATTACTTATTATAAGTACGAGAGCTGGCAACGTCGGGAAACAAGTATTTTAAGGAAGCTGGCTCTTTAATATATCGTTTACTATGCTCTCTGGAACACCATGCGGCCCGTCTGGCTGCCGGTGAACGTTGCGTTCTCTACTGCGCATTCAAAGAACATCCTATATTTTTATTAGTCCTTTAAATTCTAGTATTGAGTATTAACCGAGCGAATCTCCATAGCGCAGCGCGTAGAAGTTCCGCCTATCAAGCGAGGGGTCAGAGTTCGAGACTGGATCGGGGTAAAAACTTTTTTATTTTATTTTCGTTTATATTCTGATAGTAAAGTATTAAATAATTCTGGTGATAAAAAAAAACAAATATTTAATACTTTACTATCACAATAGAAGAGAAAAGAAAATAAAAAAATTCTTGCCCTGACCCGGTCTCGAACTCAGAATCCTCGGTTCGTAGTCAGAAACTCTAGGCGCTGCGCTATGGAGACTTATTTATATTCAATACTAGAATTTAACGGACTAAATAAAAAAAAAACATGATATATGAAAATATGGGATCTTCATCCGATGCGCAGGAGTGAACGCAACGGGTATCTGCAGCCAGATGGGCCGCATGCTATTCCAGAGAGCATAGTAAAAGATATAGCCAGCTTTCTTAAAATACTTTCTCGAAAACGTTGCTAGATCTTAGACTATTAATTTTAAATTTTTTTTATATTATTTGGAATGTTTGAAATAATTGTTTAAAAAATTATTTGTGGCAATTAAAAATTACATGTTCTTTTCGGAGTAAAAATTACTTTTTGTGCTTCGCTAACAAGTTTTCTGCGAAATCCAGTGGAGCAACTTGTTATTCATTGGGAACTGGGAGCTGTCATTATTGAACCTAACCTAACCCACAAACTTATTATAAAAAGTTAAATAATGCATTTTTTACCATAATTATGAAAATCAGTATATTATACTTTTCGAAAGTTATAATAGGGCAAATATAATAAAAAAATATAAAAAATAATATACAGCGTGTTCCATTGAAAAAATATATAGTAAGTTTCAGTCACACTTCGAAAATGACACTACATTAAAGACTTCTAGACATAATCGAGAAACCCCCATAAAACACGCGAAAATGGGACACCTTGTATATACGGCAAACCATTTTTCCAATTTACTCCAGGTTGTACATTTACATGTAAAATGTACAAGAAAGAAATAAAAAAATATAAATGATTTTTTGTTGTTCTACAAGAATTTCCAAAGTACAAATATTCGTACAATGTGATAGTGTCAACGTCCAAGGAGATATTTTCCATAAATAAGGCTCAATAATTTTAACTCTCTCATAATAAACTATAAGATCTTAATATGTAAATAAACAACTGCGGCGGTTAAATTGAATTTTGAACGCCGAAAATTAGCGTATAATTTTTAATTCATAGTTATATGAATTATTGATTTTGAAAAACGGTAAGAGTCCGCAAAAAAAAGTTCAGATTCGTAATCTACGACCTCAAAATTTTGAGTGTATACATATTTTTTGTATACAACAAATTAGGCAAATAAAATGGAGTACTCCTGCTCTAGTTGCCACCCCACCAAGTGATAGAAGGTAATGAAAAAATAACCGAACACCAACATAAAGCGGAACTCAAGAACTCGGAAGACTTCATCTGTTACTTAAAATGGGAATCGTTCAACGGTCTAAGACACCCAAGAAATTTTTCAAGGCTTACGACCGAGAAAAATCAAAGATTTTCCTTCATTTAAGTAAGAACAATCTTCAGATTGTCACGGGGTTTTTAATATGGCACTGTCTCCTCAATGAACATCTCAGTAGATGAAAGCTAACAAACAACGGCGAATGCAGATTTTGTGAGGAAAATGGAGAAATCCCAGAACACCCCATCACTGAGTGCGCCGAGACGACAACCATTCGTACCATACACTTTTGTACGACTGATATCGGAGATAGAGAACTAACACTAAGTTCTGTAAAACCGTCTTAGATACTGGCTTTTGTCAAAGCCCTGGGACTGTATGATGAGTTATAAGGTCGCGGTGATTAACTTATTCCTTCCCATATAAATAATCTACATCTATATACATTTTTGTGAAAAAAAGGACGATTTCGAGTTAGTAATTATCCTACTTTAAAACAAACATTAGCTACTTACTTGCTCAAACTGATTCCGTTATTAATAAAATCCTCGTGATGCAGCACCGACTCGTTCCACGGAATGTCCAAGAACTTCAACACCTTCCCCATCCACTCCTTGGGGTGCAGCACCAGCTGCTCGTAGGGCACCCTCAAGCACTTGCCGGCCCCCATGTCCCTGCACTGAGTGTTCATCGCCTCCACCGCACTGTTCCACTTCTTCAAACACTGTCTATAACTGGTCAGGTCGAACCCGGTGATGGTCACCTTCCTGGTGATGATCGAGTGGGCGGTGGCCCTGCCGTCGCGCACCATGAAGATGAACTTGGCGTTGGGAAACAGGTCGATGACGTAGCTGCCCATCTTGATCAGGAGGGGGTCCTTGTTGCAGAGGCGGGGGGCTGGTTCGCCGTGCTTGGCGATGATTTCCAGGGTGAAGGCGGCTATGGCCGCGTTGAGCACGTCGTTGGTGATGCCGGCCTGTTCCAGGCGCATGGACTCCTTTTCGGACTTGAGCCAGTGGAAGCGGAGTTGGAGCAGGCGGGGTATTACTCGGGTTTCTTGACCGCATCTGAAATAGAAAATTGAGTTATTAACTAGAATAGGAAACTAATTTTTTGTTTATTCTTCTTGAACCGGGTGTCCCATTTTCGTTTGTTGTGCAGGGTTTCTCGTTTATGAGAAGGTGTAATAATATGCGGATTTCATATTACGATGGTACTTTTTTATGAAACTAAAGATGCTACACGTATGTTTCAGCGCTCTTATTTTTCTAAAATATAGAGTCAATTTGAAATTGTTTAATTTTTCCACTCCCATACAGTTTTTAACGTAGAATTCAGTGGCATAACTAGTGTTTGACCCAAACTTTATGTTTTTATAAACGGGATACCCTTTATATTATTTTTTATTTTATTTGCCTTATTCTAGACTTTTTAAAAATATAATATACTGTGTACTTATTTTCATAAATAGAAGAAATGCATTATTTAACTTTTTACCATAAATCAATATACAGTATGTCCCTGGATTGTCTTTACAAGAGTTTCCTCTTTTTTATTATTGACCTTTCGAGACTTTCGAGAAAAACGCATTCTTCATAAAAAATTTGCTTGATCTAAAATGGTTAATCCCGTTTATACTTTTCCAAATTTCCAAACCGTTTTTGAGAAAATTAAGAAAAACATGAAAATGAATTATGATGATGAACGGATGAATTATTTTCAAGTTCTAAAAATCAAAACGCGTTTCTATGGTAATATATTTCTCTTCCATTCTTTGATTGACCATTGTTATTCATAGAATTTTAATTAACGTAATATTTTGTGTTATTTTAAAATGTTAAAGAAGCATAAAATTTATTTAATTCAATGCTACGGAAAGGATGATGATAGTTATCGGAAAATGCGATACTTAAAAAACTTAAAAACAGCAAAGAGAATATGACGTTAATCAAAATTAATAATAACCATCTATCAAAGAAAGAAATCGAATTGATATTTCCATAGAAACGCCTTTTGATGTTTAGGACTTTTCAAAAATTCAAGCGTATTTTCATGTTTTTCTTAATTTTCTCTAAAACGGCACTGAAATTTGGAAAATTTTAAACGCAATTAATCATTTTAGAACAAGCAAAAATTTTTATGAAGAATGCGTTTTGCCCAAAATGTCAATAATAAAAAAGTTTTTCTCTTGTAAAGAAAATCCGGGCACATACTGTAGTTTAAAAGAGTATTGGGTATTATTTTATTTAATTTTATTTTATTATTGGCTATTTCACGCTATTTTCTGTGTATGAAATTATTGCACAAATGCATCAAAAATACCTCTGATTGACAGCGTGTTATCTAAAAGCAGCACAAGTTCATTTTCAGTGCAGTTTATTAAGATAACACGCTGGAAAGCAAAGTTATTATCTCTGGCTATAAATTAAATTAAATAAAATAATACTCTAGTTTAAAACTAGGTTGATTTATAGTAAAAAGTTAAATAATGCATTTTTTATTCTATTTATGAAAGTAAGTATAGAGTATATTCTATTTTTAGAAAACTCATAACAAGGCACATAAAAATAAAAAAAATAAAGTACAGGGTATCCCATGTAAAAAATACGTAAGTTTCAATCATATTTAGCTACGTCACTGGATTTTACGTGAAAAACTACGGGATACAGTTTTAACCTTTTCGATATGCTAACCAAGGGGGTTGAAAAATTCGAAGGGGGTTGAAAAATGCAACATTTTAAAATTCGCCTTGTATTTCAGGAAGTAAGAGGCCTAGGACAAATATGTGTGTAGCATCCTTAGTTTCATAAAAAAGTAGCATACTGATGTGAAAATCGCAGCTTTGAATCCTTACTCATAAACGAAAAATTCAGGTCCATGTTTAAATTAAGACAGTTGACGATGGTGTCTCAATTCCAAAACGTCGGATTGGAAATTTAACGTTGGCATTCTGAAGAGGAGAAAAAGTAATAGTGATAGTGGCATTGTTGAAATTATTTTCATCTCAATTAATCCTAAAATTTTAGTATATTTAGTTATTTAAAAACGCGCGATTTTGCTAAAAATATCACGGTTTTTGAAACAGACAAAAAATGGAGAAATTAAAAACTCAACTCAAGCGTCAAAACATCGTAACAGTATCAACAGCATTCGGGAAAACTTCTCTGAAAATGCACATTTTCGCGCAGTTTTGCGACAACCGTTCGGCGCCGTTTATTAATGCCAAGGCAAATGCAATCTCGTCCATTTGTCAAACCGGGGGGCCCAGGCCACTTCCGTTTTGCGAAATGAACTATTTACGACCGAACTCGCATTCGACCGTGATTTAATTAGCGAGAGGAACGAGGTTAGAATGACAGAAACAGGACGCGAACTCGCGGCACAGATCGAAAAACATCTCTACACACTAAAAAAGTGTTTGATACAGTTAGCTAGATAGTGTTAACTATTAACTACAGACATTCAACTCTTTCTCTCTTTGTCCTTATCGCTCTCGCTCTCTCTATCTCTTTCTATCTCTCCCCCTATCTCTTTTTATCTCTCCCCCTATCTTTATATTTTCTCTCTCTGGCCCCCTTTGTCTCTCTCTTTATCATTCTCGCTCTCTCTATCTTTCTTCTCTCTTCATCTCTTTCTGTCTCAATCTTCTCTCTTCATCTCTGTCTCTCCTCATCCATTTATCTTTCTCGCTCTCTTAATCTTAATATCCCATTATATTGTGCCCCTCTTGAGGATATGGATGGAGACTTCCAGGTTCTTGAATTCTGGTTTAAGTTGGTTTCCACTTGGTAAGCAGAAAGATTCTGGTCCGGTTAGTGGAGTATTCGGTCCTTTTCTAGCTAGATCATTTTCTTTTTAATTACTTCTATCTCTTAGTGAACTGGTCCAGTATAGGAGGGCTTCCTTGGGAGAATTTTCTTTGCCTAATTTGTTCAGTTTCTCTAGACATTCTTTGACCAATTTCAAATTGATGGTTACTGAGTTGATCGCCCTTAAGGCTGCTTGAGTCTTGACTATCGGATAAGATGGCTATTTATTGTGTTTCCGATAGTTCCTATCTAAGATCTTTCCATCTTTATTGATAATTATGTCTGGGGTATAGGCAACGCCCCTGGCCTTAACGTAATCCTTAGCTTGAATTTATCTTCCGAAATCTTTCCTTTTTACAGAAAGCAAACGAAAGCGAGGCTAGTGTTTTTCCTGTGTATCATCGAAACCTAGCCTGGAGCAAAAGAGGACTAAGAGGAGCGGTTCAATTTTTAATTCGCGCTCGAGAAAACGTCGCTCGCGGAAAATTAGATTGCGTTTAACTGTTGGGAAAACGCCGAGGGGATGCGACGGTGCGGAAAATGCCGCCGACTGCATCGCGTCGAGGTTATGTCGCCACTTTGAAATATTTACAACCACTCTACAGATGCGGCCAAAGAAAATATTAAGTTTACTTTAGGTTGCCACGCCACAATCTATTTTCATTTCAATCTCATTTTAATTTTAAGTATCGCCTAGTTTATAGATTGTCGAGAGAGATGTATTGTGTTCCCTTTTCTTGAGTTATAACTAGCGATGGGAACTATCGAATGAATTAGACTATCGAATGGTTACTTATGAACGATGTTTATGGTTACTCAGTTGAATTGCTGTAGAATTATCTGAATATGATGATGATGTTGGTCAAAGAATGCCTTGAGAAGCTGAACAAATTAGGCAAAGAAAATAAAGTCCTCCGAGTCTGGGTGCCAGCCCACCAAGGGATAGAAGGTAAGGAAAAAGCAAACGATCTAGCAAGAAAAAGAGCGAATATTCCACTAACTGGACCAGAACCGTTCTGGTTCTCAAGTGGGGTTCCCAAGTGAAAACCAACTTAAAGCAGAACTCAAGAGCCTGCAAGACTCCATCCGTAACCTTGAATGGGAATCGTCCAACTGTCTAAGCCCACGGCCACACAGAAAGCGTTTTTAGCGTTTTGCGTTTTTTGCGTCTCAAGCGCTTTTTGCGATTTTACCGTTTTAAGCGTTTTTTTTATTTGTGTCCAGTAAAAAACACGCGAAAGACGCGGCAGCTCTGCAGTTTCTATCAAGATGTCAATTAGTAATGTCGCAAGCTCGTGGATTCCCGGCCCGTTCAACAATCAGTGAGAAAGAGATAGGCGAGATCGGCGCGGTTAGCGTTGAAGAGACGAAGATAAAAGATGCTGGGATTGAATTGGGGACGGGCCGGGGCATATATTCGGCGACAAACACAATCTACTGCTAGTGCCAGTGGTGTGTGTAAAAATAATAGTTATTATTTGGCGATTCATTTTACGAATTTTAGTTTATATGTGTATAGTTTTTTTATCTTGTAGTATTGTGGTTACTTGTTGTAATTATATAATATAATATAATAAAGAATTATAATTATATAATAGATTAGTAAATATGTATATATTACTAATTGTTAACGCAATTTTAGGACATTCCAGGCCTTGACATACGAGCTAGCGAGATGACCGCAGCCTTGACACACGAGCTAGTTGTAACGAAACGTGTTAACGGCTTAGAAATACGTAGTGACGCGACGTGTGAGCAGTCCACGTGTTTATCAAAAATATTGATATTTTAATACAAATTTTGTAAAAGTGAATCAAATTATTACGTGTAAAAAACCATTTGATACACGTAAAAAACTATTTTTATTATTTTACGCGAATAAAACTGTTATACCTAAAAAACTATTTTTTACGCGTTTAAAACTATTTGTTTTGGTAGAAAACTATTTTTTACGCGTATAAAACTATTTGTTACGTGTAAAAATCTATATGTTACACGTAAAAAACTACTTTTTTACGTGTCAAAAACTTATTGTTTCTGATAAAAAAACATTTTTTTTCTGGTAAAAAACCTTTTTTACGCAAAAAAAATTACGTGTAAAAAACTATTTGTTACACGTAAAAAACTAATTTTTACGCGTCAAAAACTTATTATTTCTGCTAAAAACTTTTTTACACAAAAAAAATTACGTGTAAAAACTATTTGTTACACGTAAAAAACTAATTTTTACGCGTCAAAAACTTATTGTTTCTGGTAAA